GTGCGCATGCGCAGCGAGGGTTACTGTAGTTGAATGGATACCCAAAGCAGCAAAAATTGCTAATGTTATATTATAATATGTGCACCAGCTTATTAACCCTCGGCGCGCATGCGCAGCGAAGGTTAAGGTAGTTGTCTCGTAAGTGTGTCCGTCAGTCTGTCTGTCATTACCCTCGGCGCGCATGCGCAGCAAGGGTACTGTAGTTAACCCTCGGTGCGCATGCGCAGCGAGGGTTACTGTAGTTGGGTTTGTGTGTGTGTGTGTCTGTTACTCTACATCTCACCTCTCGAATGTCTGTTCGTCCCAGAAACGATACCATCTACCCAACGGGCGACGAAGGTCAGAAAATATGTGGGGGTTTTCTATGAAAATGCTCCGTTGCAGAGCTAGAGCGCTTCCACCATTGTATGGCTAATGTATAGTCGCCCATTTTTATCACTGCGGAAAACGCGCATGCGCTTATATTTTCAACAGGGGTTAACCTCGACCGGGTCCGCTTGCTCTGTGTATCTTGAAGGCACAAGAAGTCACAACGAAGGGCGTGTATCGACTCTCGCATACTATCTACTACTGTAGCTAGCCCGTGTCAGACTCTCTGCGAGCTACTAGCGGGAGACCACGAATGCATACTAATAGCAGCCCAGCCCATCAGTTAGCGGTACCGCGCATCCCAAGTTCGCCGAGGGTTTGCACTTTAGTGCTTTTCATTGGGTCTGTCCGTCCGTCCGTCCGTCCGTGTGTCTGTTACTCTCAATCTCACTTCTCGAGTGTTTGTTCGTCTCACAAAGGATACGACCTACTTAACGGGCAATGGAGGTCAGAATTTTTGAACGGTTTTCTCTGAAAATGCTTTGTTGCAAAGTTAGAGCGCTTCCGCCATTGTACGGCTAATGCTAGTCGGCCATTTTTATCGCTGCGGAAAATGCGCATGCGCTTATATTTTCTACAGGCTCGGGTCGGCTTGCTCTGTGTATCTTGAAGGCACGAGAAGTCACAACGAAGGGCGTGTATCGACTCCCGCATGCTATCTACTACTGTAGCTAGCCCGTGTCAGACTCTGCGAGCTACTAGCGGGAGACCACGAGTAAACGCATACTAATAGCAGCCCAGCCCATCAATTAACGGTACCCCGCATCCCCAGTTCGCCGAGGGTTTGCACTTTAGTGCTTTTCATTCTGTCTGTTACCACGTTTTCTGCCACCGCGCGCACGAAATCAGGTAAATAGCGATATGATCGGGTTCAGTGCTACACTGGGTTGATTTTGAAAAAGGCGATTCTACAGTTATGGCGTGAAAACCAAGTGAACAAGCCAATATGTTAGGCTTACCTCGACTGCGTCCGAGCGCTCTGTGTCTCTTGAAGGCACAAGAAGTCACAACGAAGGGCATGTATCGACTCCCGCATGCAATCTACTACTGTAGCTAGCCCGTGCCAGACTCTCCGCGAGCTACTAGCGCGATAAAGAAAAGAAAAGCCCAGCCCATCAATTAGTGGTACTGCGCATGCGCAGTTCTACGAGGGTTTGCACTTTAGTGCTTTTAGTAATAATTGTTTAAGTATATCTTAAAGTAGTAGGGTCATTGTCTAATACGTCACGAGGTAAGTTATTCCACACTTGGAGTGTTTTAGGCAAAAACGAGTGCTGAAACTGCATGAGTTGTGCGTGCGAATGGGATTTTATAGGAACTTGGTGCACTTGCACAGGTTGAAGCAGATGGTTGTAGCTATATATGGTTAGAACGTCAGGAGGAAGGTAGGAGCGGTATGTAAGTAATGTAGCCACCCTTAGGTACTCTCGGCGGCTGGCCAATGTTGGGATTTTGAACAAATCCAACAATTCTTCATAACTAGCAGACCATCTTCCAGAGCTGATACGAAGAACATACACTCGCTTGGATCATTCATACTGTTCCCGTTTTGGGAGGCTGTCCTACCATTGATGCGCTTTTCCGATCTTTGCTGTGCCCGAATCGTAACTTTACGGCAACGTCATTCCCACGGTAAAGCTCGGATAAGAGCGAATATTTTTATACAACAATTTATGACCAAGAACTACACTTTGGTATACACAATAGCCAATTTAGTCCTGCACAGACTTCACAAATGCGTCCGAGAATACATGGCGTCCGATTATCTGTGGCTTACTAATATTTTCAAATTTTTTTTGTATATATATAAGGATTCCACACTTGGCAGGCATATTCCAGAATCGTTCTACTTATAACTGTGGTTCTTGCATCCACATTCCGTTTCACAAACATACACTGGCTTAGGACGCCTTCTTACAGTTTCCTTGCCAAAAGATATATAGCTGACCTTGGAATGTTCCGCGGTGCCGATGCGGATTACACCCCTCTGTTCAATAGGTGCTTCTTAGAATTCGCCCATCGCGCGCTATGAGAAGGTGGAAAAGTGGTCGCTGTGGCCTTGCAGGTAGGCAAATACTCCTGTCACTCATAGTGGTATTTGCAGTGGTGGCCGTCATGAAATATCGACTCGCACCGTACGACGGCAGCGCTTCACGAGAAGCTACTCTCCGTCCGATTCAGAAAGCTGCTCTCCGTCCGATTCAGAAAGCTAGTCTCCGTCCGATTCAGAAAGCTGCTCTCCGTCAGTCCGATTCAGAAAGCTATACTCTCCGTCCGATTCAGAAAGCCACCCTCCGTCCAATTCCAGAACTTTCCCTCAAGTACTCGAGATTGGGGAGCCAACTGCAGTTGAACTACACCAAGATGTGCCCCCGCGGTTCTCTGATGCTGGAAAACAGCAAACAACGCAGTCAGTTCGTTCCTAACCATCAAACCTGCCCCTCCCTTTTCATCGTTGGAGCCAGAAAAGGAGGGACCTCGTCTCTGTACACGTACATGTCCAAACACCCTTCGTTCAAGGGCATTCTTCTGGACAAAGGTCCCGCGGTAGGCGAGACCTGCTACTTCAGCTTCTTCTGGAAGCAATGGCAATGGAGCCAGTACATGAACATGTTTCAGAATACTAGTCGCTACATGACAGGAGAGTCAAGTGTGGACTATCTGGCCGACTGTCATATTCCTGAGAGACTGTGGAGATCATGCGGGAAACAGGCAAAGATTGTAATTCTCCTTCGAGACCCAATCAAGACGTTCCAGTCAAATTACCTCATGCGAGCCCGGCTAAAAACCTCGAAAATCAGAGGCAATGTATCAACTGTAGTCAATGTTGAGATGAACAGATTCCTCGGTGCTATATACCCTTAAGAAGGGTGTTGATACACAGAGCATGGAGCATTCTTGGAAGAACTTTCGCTGTCTCTTTTCCGCTGCTGCAAGTATGGTCTTTGAAGGACTTTACTACGTCCATGTCATGACCTATGGCTATGCAACTCTCCTCCTGAGAACATTCTCATCCTCAACAGCGAGGAGTTTTTCCACGACACACCAGCAGTCTATAAAGAAGTGATTAATTTCCTCGGTCTTCCTCCTCTCGATCCCAACACAATAGCATTTATTACGTCCAAATCCTACAACGCACGCAGGCAAGACCAGGAGCAGATGCCTGAAAAGGAGCAGAGCAAACTGAGAGTAGTCTTCTAACAAACTAACAAACCACTTTTTCGCCTATTGGGATGGGAAGATTTGGACTGAAACTGAGAACGAGACCTAAAAGACAGTGTCATGAATTGAAGGGGGTCAGAGTCAGAGTGGGCCAACCCTCAATATACAACTCTTGCCGGTTTTCCTTCAAATATGTTCTAATGTTCTTATAAAACAAAGCGGCAAAGAGTTGTAAATTGAGGGTTGGCTCACTCCGGCTCTGACCCCTTCAATTGTTTTATTATAAAAGTGTGTCGTATCTTGCGCTGGTATAATAGTGCTCTGTAGCTCAACAGACTTATTAACCCTCGGCGCGCATGCGCAGCGAGGGTTACTGTAGTCGTTTTGTGTGTCTGTCTGTCTGTTACTCTACATCTCACTTCTCGAGTGTTTGTTCGTCTCACAAACGATACGACCTACTCAACGGGCAATGAAGGTCAGAAATTTTGTGGGGTTTACTCTGAAAATGCTCCGTTGCAAAGCTAGAGCGCTTCCAGCATTGTATGGCTAATGCCGGTAGTCGCCATTTTATCGCTGGCGGATAATGCGCATGCGCTTAAATTTAGCACAGCTTACCTCGACCGGGTCCGCTTGCTCTGTCTATCTTGGAGGCACAAGAAGTCACGACGAATGGCGCGTATCGACTCTCGCGTACTATCTACTACTGTAGCTAGCCCGTGTCAGACTCTCTGCGAGCTACTTCGCCGAGGGTTTGCACTTTAGTGCTTTTCATTTATAGAATGCAGACAGACTAAGATACATAAGATGCCTACTTTTATGGGGTAAAACACGGACCCGGAGATGAATGACTGATGATTAACGACTAGCTATATAGTCGTGCTATATACTACAGAGTGCAAGTGCTAGCACAATGTTTATGAATAATATTATGACAGGGAAGACCTCCATTGATAATTATTGAGTCAATCAACATGCGCAACGCAACTTACAACAACATACATTCCACCTATTTCGTCTCCTGGAAACGCCGCCGTTGAGCTTCAGCCGTAATACGCCACTTTCATATTACGAGGAGAACAATGCTACGCGGCGCGAAAAGTAATCTGCAGTTTTCTGTCCGCGCCAGGCAGATCTAGAGCTACTCTGACCCACGCCGGTCATTGAATGAACTCCTAACTTTTTCTGTCTCATGGGTGTGCAACTGGGCTAGTGCACTGACTTTCTCTCACTGGATTCTAGCTGTAGCAAGTGCTTGTTGTAACCGAAACCATCATTTTGTGCAACACCGATCTCTTTTCTTGCACCTGCTCCTAGAGAGCTGTAAATGCTTGCTTTGTAGGACTGATGTGCATGATTATTTGCCTGTATCACCATATCTGGAGCCGTCCGCATGCAACACGCACCGTCGTCGACGTAACGTATATACAGCGCATGCGTATCGCGGAATGCCCGTTGTCAAGGCGATAAGCGCATTGCTACGTAGAGACATTATTCCTGAATTTTCTTGTTTCTGAGAAGCATAGTTGCATGATGTCGTGGAGGAGCAACGCTAAAAAGAGTGACGTACGTTCCCCATAATCTAAGCGGTCCAACAAAAACGATAATGTGCTGAGTCGCTGTGTCCATAGACTAGTGTCTGCAGAGCATTTCTCTAAATAATGCACATCAAACGTCAACGTCTGCAGCCTTTGAACAAGCGGATTCCAAAGAACCCGAAGTACAGTCATGTAAAGGCTACAGTAGACACCGGTGAGCTCGGAAAAGTATTATCTGTGTATATTATATCACATTACCTCCTGGGCTAGGAGCTAGTCTTGGCAAGTATCTGGCCCGCCTGGAGGACATGAGGAAAAGTAAGTATAATATACAGTCACACCGACAATATTCTTCATTGTGAACACGTTCCTCAATAGACTATAGATTTCGACCAGATGAGATATTCAAGAGGCTGAAGGCAACAACATTTGTTCAGCTGGTAAAAATTTTGCTGTCATTTTAGACTTGTATGTATGCAGTGTGTGTGTGTGTGTGTGTGCGTGTGTGTGCAGGTAGTTCAGGTGGCACTGACACGTATGCAAGATGACGAAGAGGTCGAAGATGAGGAACCTACCCCTCTGCCTGAAGATGGTCAGTATTCTAGTTGTATATACACCGTGACTCCCCGATTTATTTACCCACCACTAGCATTGTGTGTCAGTCACATATTGCTCTAAAGTCACCCATTTATATGTGTCTTGATCACTCTGTCATGTGCATAATTCACTGCAGAGTCTCCTCCAGACACAGCGCGATCTACTCTGAACAGGTGAATTTACTGTTATAAAATACCTTTTCTATGATTCATTCTGAGGTGCAGTATAGTGCATGGGATAGGGGAGTTGGATGTCGCTGATGATGAACCGTCACAGCCGCCCTCGCCACGCCTCCCTCCCACCTCCCCCTACCTCCTCCTGGACGTCAGGGACACTGACGAATACCAGCGCTGCCACGTCATCAGTGGTTAGACACGTTGCATCAACACACATAACCTATGGCCGTTATTAGATTTAGTTGCTAGTCTACAAGTGAGGTACCATGCTGCACTGCATCGCTAGCCTTTGCAACGTATCCCAAACCTAGCTAGCGTAACCCTTCACTTTGAGGTATAATTGGCACCACCGTCACTATTTTGTGTACAGCTAAGAGCTATCCTGTTGCCATGCTGTCGAGATCTTGCAACTACTTCACACAGGACATTCTGGACTATGTATCCTGCACCATGTTGGTGGAAACTGCTCCACTCTACAAAGCATGCCCTGGCTCAACTTTGTCCCCAACTATATATACAGTTGTTAGTTTTGGGGGTTTTGTATTGCTTTGTGCTTTGCCCACTCGTCTCATAGTTTCTATGATAGATACACGATAAATATCCAGACCCAAATTTGTTTCTGTCAGTTTTTCCTGATCCTGATTTTTGTTAGCCTCCATTTGTTTTCTTGTAATGTGTACTTATCCACAACACCTGTTGTGTGTCTTGACTGTGCACTCCGGCCTCCAGAGCAACAAACCGGGTCACATCATCATTTTGTATGACGACAATGAGAGGATGGCTCCACAGGCTGCCACTGTGTTTGTCCAGAGAGGAGTCGACAACGTCTTCTTACTCTCTGGAGGTCTGACTTTGTACATCACTTTGCAGCCTACACATGTACTTATCATTTGCAGCATGGTACCAATTTAGCCTCTCTTGTACGCCTTACGCCTTCCATGAGGTCATCTACAAACATTTATCATGTTCACACTCTTTCGTCTTTTTTAAACAACCAGTGAGTTGGGTGGTATAATGAAGACTCCATTGACTGCAGGTATGAGAGTTCTACACAGAGTGTTCCCGCAGGGGATAATTACAGGGAGCCTCCCGCCGTCCTGTCTCCCCAGCCCTCCCCCGTCCTCTCGGAGGTCACAAAGGACACCTCGTCACCCCCCTGCCCTCCCTGCCCTTCCCATACCATCTTGAATGGCCCTCTCCTAATGGTATAAGACTCCACTTAACTATTACTCCTCCTCATACATATTTCGTTTTCCTTTCCACGTGCAATTTCTACCTCGTTACCAAGTTGTTGAGACGTGTATTTATAGTTGCTGTGATTCATGCACTGTTGTTAGTAATGCAGCACATATATTTTGTGTTGTGTATTATTATTAGTTCACTGAATTCTTAGAAGAAAAGAAACCCACAATTTCTCTGCACTTTTGTATTGCCTACACACCCATGTACTAGAGCAAACATGAATTGCGTGGTACTGTTTTGCTGAATTCCGTATTAGAAAGGTCCTATGCTCTCCATAATATTGTAGATATTGCTGTTCTCCAAGAACAACTGGACCAGGTCCTGCTGGCAAGTAAGAAGGGGCTCATAATCATTCTGTTCTACATGTTCCTACACACACCGTGTGCTGTAAGCCTTGTTCACAAAATGACACAGCGTACACGCAGTTGTGTGAGAATGCCCTCCATGCTTGAAACACATGTAGCCGTTTGTGTGCTGAGGGAAGGTGTGTATTAAATAGAACAACAGCGAAAACCTGACCACACTCATGATTTGTGCCGTCTCAACAGATGAGCCGCCCAGTTCACGGGCCAGCACCAGAGCTGGAGGTGGGAGTGGCAGTCGAGCTGCTGCCTCCAGTCGGAGTGGTCCAGCCAGTTCCCGGGCCTCCTCCCACCGCACCTCACCTCCCAACTCTAGCAGAGGAACCACTCCATGGAAATAGTGACTGAAAAACAGTCTCCACTCTCCAGCCTACAATGCTTTGAGTATATATCACTAAACACATGCACAATTGTAACAGTTGCTATTTTTCTTCAAAGTCTCGATCGCGTGGTTATATAACTGATGTGCATCAGCTCCATCAGCTGTAAGTCATCTCCCCTATAATAATCATACTCAAACTGCAAAAAGTAATACCGCTAGACATTGACACCCCATGGAGCAATTTCGAATTTCAAACAGCATACAATACCAAACAATATTATTGAGAATGACAAACAAAATTGATGTGAAGTGTATAACATGGTAATGCCAATTATTACGTCAGTTTTAAGCTATGACTTTGGGTCTGCCCCTGTCATTATCAGCTCCAACAGTAGCTGTAAGTCTTCTGCCAGGAAGGCAGGTAGCCGAGCATTGGGTTGACCACCACTCTCACGAGTGGGATGGTGGCTGCCAGGTAGCTGAGTAGCCTCACTAGGAGGTCCCTGGTGTAGCGGTCGTAGAACGGAGTCCTCAGGAGGTAGAGGAGGAGAGAGACGCGACGACGAACAATCTCGGACTTGTTCTCCTTTGACCTCCAGCGGAGGAGACCTCCGTGGAGCTGGAGGCTGGCGAGGTCAAGGGTCATGGAGAGGAGCCACGGCTTCCATGATCCCTGGGAGAAGCTGAACATCGATGCCACTGTGTGTGTGTGTGTGCGTGTGTTGTTATTGGGATTGGGGGATAAAAAACACCATCATGGCACACAAAGAGCATAATACACATACGGCAAGTCCAACTAGTCGGCAATGTTAAGTACTGTAGACGGACGGCGCTGTCCACACTGAAGTGCTACATTACACTCACATTCTCTCGCTGGCAATAATTTTCTGCATGTATTGTCACCTACATAAACTTATTTCAGGCAAGTGCAATCTACACCAGTTGTTTGTGCAGTTACAGGGGTACAACTCTCACGGTGCAAGAGAGGCCGAGAAATGTAGAGAGCTTCGGCTGCCAGCTGCCGGGTAGAGAGAGAGCGAGATGAGGAGGAGGGGAGGGGGGAGGGGGTGACACTACCCTGGAGCTGTGAGAAGGGGATGGAAGGGTCCGTGTGAATGGAGCGGACTACTCTGCCCGTGCGGGGAGCTCTCCAGGCCAGCGGCTGGCCCTCTCCCAACTGGGGCAGAGATTGGGCCTCCTACAGTAAGGCAGGGTGGTTACTTCATACCCCATCCCACACTTTACGGTCAGGGCAGGAGCTTACACTTTGCAATGGTTGTACGCTACATTAGGTTTACTGAGTACTGCCAGCTTTAGTTACAGTGGAACCTCCGAACAAGGAACACTATGGAGACGATTTGTCCCTTGTAGAGAGGTGGGCCCTATCTCGGAGATTATATAATGACTGTGTCCTTTGTAGAGAAGTCGTCCATATCCCCTTATCGGAGGTTCCACTGCATATATGTATTGGCTTCTGTATAAAAGCATGCTTATGACTGGCAGACACATACACTCCACATAGTAACTGATGTACCTTAGCATGTTTGCGGTCGGGACTGGGGACAGCAGGAGTGGTAAGAAGTCCACTCTTCATGTAGAACACCAGGATTCCCCTGAGAGTAGCCTTCACACACTGGAGGAGGATGACGACGGCCCACTTGCCAGGCTCACCCACTGCCAGCTCACTGGTCACCTCCAGCATCACCTCCGTACATTCCAGGACCGCTAGGAGCCACAGCACCACTCGTTGACCTCGAGGGACCTGTACATGCAGCGGGGACAAAAAGGTGTGCATAACGGTAGGAACCTCCACATTCAGATTTCACTACTGTCCAGAGGGATTGAGTCGTTCACATAAAAATGGCCAACTAGGGTCACATCTCTACTCGCCATAACGTGCACTGTAACTTAACCTAATGCTGCAGATAAACACACAAAAAATAGTAGCCACCCTACAGACAGTTACGTATTGCATCATGCAAGAATTTATGACAACCTGTAGAGTGTGTGAGTGACTAGTGACGTTTTGACTACACACCACACAATAGCGCATGAAACATCACGCACCCTGTGCAGGGGGCTGGCAGACGGGCATTTCCTGGTAACCAGGTAGTCGTTCAGGAGGCAGTAGAGATTAGCTGCCGAGTAGGATGCCTCGGTGACCGCCCAAGACCCGCCCACCAACCCCGGCACGAGGTAGCTGGCCAGGCGAAACCCAGACTCCAACCGACCAGCCAGCTCGGGATCCCTCACAATGAGCTCTTGGTAGCGCTTGGCTAGCTCTAGGACCCCAGTACCGAGCCGCTTCGCTTGCGCTGCCACAGAGTCCATGGCCTGATGCTCCGGTCCAGAGTGCACAATTGCGCATGCGCAGTTAGGTACGACAAAAGAAGAAGCGCGTAAAGAAGCTGCGCATGCGCACTTACACGACGTGTCGAAAAATCCGCTCGAACGAACGACTAGGTTGGCTCGCTCCCGCTCGTCAACTATATAATATATAGTTGGGCAGCAAAGAGCTTTTACACATTATTATAATATTATACTCTTTTTATAGCCGAACTAGGTGTGTGTGTGCTGAGATGTGTCACCAGACCTCACAGCAGCCAAAACAAGTAGCAATCAAACTGAAAAAGGTCTACTGATCATGAGTCACTATGTATCATTCTAGCATTACCCCCTAGCTAGGCTACAGTAGTTCCAAGTATCCACACATTCTCTCCAGTCTAGCAGTGATGTCAGTTACCAGCTGGGAGAAAGAGGGTCGTTTCTCTGGGTCTACATCCCAGCATTCCCTCATCATAGCATAGCTACATTCGGGGAAGAATGGTTCATGATAGCAAAGGAGTAGTTGCAGTGAATAAGGACTTAACTCTATAATATACGGACACACAGACTTTTAATTCGCTTGCAGTATTCTACAGACACTTGACTAAAGGACACTTGGTTATGCCACATAAGTTATTCAATGTCCCCAAGGTGAAAATCATACAACTAGCTACCACATGCACGTAAATTTCGTCGGAAGGGTCTGACTACAATTTAACAACCAACTACGAAAAACCATGGCCTTTTGTATACCTTCAGAATCAGTGGACACCGAAAGTATCCTTTTTCGTATGGCGAAGAAGTAAGTGTTCTATATTATACAATAAAGGGGGTTGTTTAGAGGTTGCACTAGCATGTGTTGTCCTCACATTTCCTCAGAGCAAGCTACATTAGCAGGTTTGACCAGTCTCTCTCCTCTCTCCAGATGTCTGAGTAGAGAAAAGGGGTCCACTCCAGGGTAGGGCCCCTTCCCCAATGTGAACACCTCCCAACATGTCACTCCAAATGACCACTGCGGATACAAATCGCTTGAGATTATAGAACAGTATTTTTGTTAATTTCCAAGCAATTTACCACATCAGTCTTCTCAGAGAATATGTCATCATTTAGGCTCTCAATAGCCATCCATTTCACTGGAAGTTTAACCCCTCCCTGCCCTGCCACCTCTATCCTGAAGTAACTCTTGCTGGAATAAATTTTTTCCGACAGACCAAAGTCAGCCACTTTTATCACATTGTTTAGATCAATCCTGTGCATGGAACGTTTATTATATGTGTAAAAGGCTAAAGTTTCGTCTCTTACATGCAGTTTCTTGCTGCAAGGTCGCGATGAATAAACTTCCTCTCTGCCAAATATTGCATTCCTCTTGAAATTTGTAGACATGTGGATAGTAACATTGAGCTTGTTTCTTCAAAGACATGAAGATACAATAACAGTATCACACAAACCAAAATCTTAAGCAAGATGGATAAAAAAAATAAAATCTACACTTCTGGGCAATCATTATCATCAAACTGGCATCAAATCATGACAGATTGTCATACATTTTCTCGCTATACGGGAACATTTTACCCATGTAAAAGAGTAAAAACTTACCTTCCCCTACAATTTTTTGGGTGCTAATACACCCCTCAGGAACTAGTAATTTCAACTCAGACATCCGTTGCATTAGATCAGACAGCTCTTCATTCATACGGCCTTTTCCGCTTTCTGTGCAGTACATAAACATTAATATAACAGTTTCTTGTACAGGTTACAGTTACCAATGTAGCAGTGGTCATCTCCGTCAGCCTCAGTATGCGAGCTAAAGAAGAAAATGTTAAAGAGATGAAATTATGAGAGTTATATAGCTAAGTATCATTTTTCATACCTGCCATTATTCCTTTGGTGTCTTTGCTTGCAATAAATAGTGATAACACTAACTATGATGGCAATTGAAGTCAAACTAGCCAGGACCACTGAAACGGCAATGTACACTGTCACACTTTCCTCTGAATTCTGCGACATTTCATCTACACGGGTAGCTAGCATTGCCATCTGTCAAAAAAAAACAAGTAAAAACAACCCATTTAGTATATACTCTGTGTACCAAAAGAAGGTAGATATATAGATCCTTGTGATTTGTGTTTATTGTGATTGACCAGCGAAGAGTGTAATTATCATACCCAGGGTGATGTTAAGCATCTCAGACACTCCAGATACAATATTTGATGACTTTGAAGTAGCTTCTACTGAGATGGTGTAGGTTTCTCCATTTGTAAGACCAGTGATGTTGTAACTAATGGTGTCCGAACTAAGAGTCTTGAATGAACTGGTGCCACTTTGACTGGCAAGAAGGTATAGTACTATATATCGAGTCACTGGATACTGTGGTGGAGTCCAGGTCACTCTAACAGTAGTGAGATTAATTTGCTCCAGTGAAGTGATAGTTGGAGTTGCAACTGCAGTGGGTATTAAAACACTCACCATCCATATATAGAAACACTTGAACTTTTACCTCTCACAGTTACATTGGCAGTTCTTGAAGCAACACTAGTGATATTGCACTGGTACACATCTCCCTCTCTGCCAGTGGATATGACATCAGTAGCAGCAGTGTAGTTGTCATTGCTCAGAAAGCTTGGGATACCAACTGGCTGTATATAGCTGGAGGTGTCAAATTCGTATCCATTAGGACCAGAGACAGCCATGTTTAGAGCTCTACCACCAGTGGAGGTACACCTCACTCTGAATGTTGATGTTCCAGTCACCTCGATAGCTGCAGTTACTGAGGTGACTGAAATTGAGGAATGATACAGAGCATCTCACACTATATATAATATCAATAGAAATGGCTACTCACTGGGGTAAAGGATATACAGTCCTGATGGGTCATTTAAATCACTACCTCTAAAGTTACAGTTGAAGTATCCTTCTTCTGGGGTTTTTATTCGTCTTCTCAGATAGTGTACTCTGCGACCACCTTCAACAGCTCTGGTTCCACTCCATCCACGAATTACTGTACCAGCATGCTGTATGGTCTTTGCTCCTTTAAAATTGCAACTGATTGGACTACTTCCATCACCAACAAGACATATTTGACTGGCAGTAGTACTGGGCAGTTCGGACAGACACCTGAGAGCTCTGTTGGTGTCACTGTTAGAATCCAAAACCTCAAAGTCGTACACACTGATCCTTGACATGTTGGTATTGGGAATGGAATCGCCATTGAGGGAAATGGTCAGACCTACAGAGTGAAAGGTTCTTACAGACTATTTACGAAAAGCCCAGCATGTATATATATATTATTTACCTTCTGCGTATAGCGTTCTCCAAGAGTAAAGCTCCAGTAGAGCTACAAGCAAGAAAAGAAACCGCATCTTCAAGTTGGAGCGTCTCTGCGCAAAATGCCGATAGAAGACGACTCGGCGCGCTAAAGAACTAGATAGAGTAAAGCGCATGCGCATAAGCTAGCGCAGTCGGCCTTGAGATCCGATGGATCCATGCAGAAGAAAGGACACGTGCTCTAGCGCCAATAGCTGGGGGGTGGTGGTGAGCCACTGGGACTGGGAGGTGGCCGTCGACTTCCCCAGCAAGACCCTCACCTGCACCGCCACTCTCGACATACGCACTCTCACGGATGGAGTTGGGAGTCTGGTATAGCTATATGAGCTGTAGTTCATTCACAGCTGATGCATTAATAAAGCTGAACTTTCAGACCGGTTATGCAGGAAAACCCGAAAACCCATCTGTAGCAGCGAAGAAACCTGTTGTGACAACAAGTGTAGGTATAGTGTGAGAGTGAGTGCAGGTGTTTCCCACGGCACAGATACTAGACTGTGTGGGACTTGTGGTGAGTGAGGTGAGCAGCAGGGAGAGTGGGGAGAGCCTGGCCTACCAGGTGAAGCAGCTAGATGGAGAGCTCACTCCTTGTCTCGACATCTCCCTCCCATCCACCTGCGCCAAAAAGTGAGGGCTCTGTTGAATGCATTACTAAGGCGAACGCAAGGCTAAACAGTAGTGGTTTGTCTTCACTCTAAGTGCAGCTGTACATAATATGAGCTTACTGGCAGCAAGATTGTTGAACTGTGTTGGGGTTTGCAGAGGTGCAGAGTTGGGTGTTAGGATCAGCTACAAGACAGACCCAGCTCTGTGTGCTGCTGTCCAGTGGCTGGAGCCATCGCAGACCATGGGCAAGAAACATCCCTACCTCTACACACAGTGTCAGGTCCATGAGTGCCCAGAGATAGAGGTGTACATATTGAAGGGGGTTTATTTTCTACAGGCTATTCATGCTCGTAGCATGCTGCCGTGTCAAGACACTCCTTCTGTGAAGAGCACCTTCTCCGCCAAGGTCATTAGCATAATGTAAACATTCTGACTCCTGAAATGAAGTGTTCTTACGCAACCCACCGTACATTCAAAGTATGATGACAGACCCCCACTACTCAAGATACTGAATGTTCTTTTCTCAGCTACCATTATTGTTAACAAGTGAAACTGAGGGATATACTAGCGAGTACATGGTGTTACACATTTTGTAACTTAACACTCAGTGCTTAAACCGTCTGCTCGTCCTTTTCTTTTTTTCTTCTTTTATTTTCGTTATTCTGTACCAGTTAGCTATGTATAGTACAAAGTAGAGCAAACTTAGCCTAAGTCAGAGTAAACATTCACAGATACGGAATGGGTATGCATACTGAGTCCTGAATTCCTTCAAACCACGCTAGCCACAGCATGTTTGCTTAATACTGTATGTGAGGTAAGGTTCCCCGTAAGGCCCCTATGGGCTTCAGTATCCTGCCTAGTCTTACTCACTGCAGGTAGCAGTTGCGTGTGAGTTGGTAGCTCTAATGGGGGCAGAGAGACTGGGCAGTGAGCCACACGCCTCCAACCCTACCCTGACTGTATTCAGCTTCAGACAGAATGTTCCCATTCCCTCCTACCTCGCTGCCCTTGTGGTGGGAGCTTTAGAGAGCAAGTAAGACAGAGAAAAAATTATATAGTACTGCTACCACTGGGAGGAGTTAGAGACTATCCACAAATTTTTTATACTATAGGCAGTCAACTATCAAGTGTCCGTGCAAATAGCCATTCGTGGATTCATGCACAACCTCTAGTTACCGTACGTGTGTTTGTCTGCAGGAGGATTGGTCCACGCAGTCATGTGTGGTGCGAGAAGGAGATGGTGGAGAAGGCTGCCTGGGAGTTTGAGGAAGTCAGTGTATACATTTTGCAATACCAATACCTAAGTTAAGGCTACATCGGTTCTGTTATTGTCAGAGTGTGAAGTGGTAGGATTTTGAGATTTCCCCCAACTGCAGACGGAGAAGATGCTGAGTGCTGCGGAGGAGGTGGTGGGGGAGTACCTGTGGGGCCAGTATGACATTCTTGTTCTGCCTCCGTCTTTTGCCTACGGTGGCATGGAGAACCCCTGCCTCACCTTCTTGTCTCCCTCTCTTCTGGTTCACACTACCTACTGTTGCTGTTTTGCTCTTTAACACTCAGATTTAGTGGGTACATAGCATCTGTTCTTTACCCCCAACCCTCCTAAGACATAATTATGCATTCTGGTTTACACATAAGCCTGTGTCTTAACTACCTGAGGCTTAAAGATGTAGCTATGTGCAGAAATTGTGACATACTTAAAATCTCAGCTCAAGTTAGCAGCGCATAGGTTATTCTGGAAGCACTCGCTACCGTCAGTTTCTGTGAGCAGTGGATCATTTCAATAGTTGGCTGCTTCTCATTTTAAGCTCAGTTTTGTGTTTTCATACTTTTACTCATGACTCAATGTATTTCAGTGAGTAAGATGTTCGCTATTTACCTGATTTCGTGCGCACGGTGGCAGAAAACGTGGTAACAGACAGACAGACAGACAGACACACTTACGGGACAACTACCGTAACCCTCGCTGCGCATGCGCGCCGAGGGTTAATTACAGGCCACGGAATACCACTGACATCAGTATTCCGTGGCCTGTAATTAACCCTCGGCGCGCATGCTCAGCGAGGGTTACGGTAGTTGTCCCGTAGTCTGTCTGTCTGTCTGTCTGTTACCACGTTTTCTGCCACCGCGCACACGAAATCAGGTAAATAGCGATATGATCGGGTCCAGTGCTACACTGGGTTGATTTTAAATAAGGCGATTTTCGTAAAACTACTGTGTTCTAAAGTTATGGCGTGAAAACCAAGTGAACAAGCCAATATGTAAATTAGCACAGGCTTACCTCGACCGCGTCCGTTCGCTCTGTGTGTCTTGAAGGCACAACAAGTCACAACGAAGGGCATGTATCGACTCCCGCATGCTATTTACTACTGTAGCTAGCCCGTGCCAGACTCTCCGCGAGCTACTAGCGGGATACCACGAGTAAAGGCATAAAAAGCCCAGCCCATCAATTAGTGGTACCGCACATGCGCAGTTCGCCGAGGGTTTGCACTTTAGTGCTTTTCATTCATTTGTCCATGAGTATTAAAGCAGATGCAACTCAGTAACATACATACATTTGTCTACAATCTTAACAAACCTGTTATACCAGGGCATTCTACTATTAGTATGTACACCTGTCCAATTATAGGCAGGAGATAGATCACTGGCAAATGTGATAGCCCATGAGTTGTCTCACAGTTGGACTGGAAACCTAGTCACCAATGAAAACTGGGAAGAGTTTTGGTGAGCCACGAATAGCAACATACTACATGCACTCTTTACTACATCTTTGGTGAGCCACACTGTATCAACAAGTTTCACAAACTAACTGCGTGCACTTTTTACTACGAGACTATGTTTGTGAACACATTGTGGGTGCCCTACAGGATGAATGAAGGGTTTACCACATTCCTTGAGAGGAGGATCGCTGCCAAAGTGTTCAATGAGAAAGAGCGACATCTTCAAGCCTCAGGTCAAACACAGGCTTATTTATACATGCAAGCATCAAAGGCAAAGGCAAACAATTCAACTACACCCAGAACGACTCTTTTTTTCAAGGAAAAATTAAGAGCTGCCCTGGGTGGGATTCGAACCCACGACACTCTGCAGTCTAGGCAGAGCGCTCTTACCCACTGAGCCACAAGGGCAGCTCAGCAGGCAGGGTCTCAAATGTACAACACAATACAAGGCAAAGGCAGGGTTGGATATATTCTGGGGGGGGTAAAGAACAAACGAAAATAATGCTTATGCACGTTCTTTGTTTGTAGTTGGATGGAACCAGATGGAAGATGCAGTAAGTGCTTGTTTTTACCATGTGAGATTCATGCAAAGTACACACTGACAGATACGAAGCTTTGAAAAGCAAGGAAAGGCACACTACACGCCTCTGGTCCCTGAGCTAAAAGGACTCCACCCTGATGATGTATTCTCATGCATTCCCTACGAAAAGGGATCTTCTTTCCTCTTCTTCCTTGAGACTCTCCTTGGAGGACCAGGTGTGTAACAAACATTGAAGGCTAAGCAAACCTCTCTAATCAACAAAGTGCAGCAGCTTACCCTGCATAGTTTGAGAGCTAAGCAAGCCTCCTCTGAGTTGCCCATACTGTTATACACTTGACAATGTACGTGCACCAAACATGTTGTATATAGATTGGCTCATCAAAGGCCACACAATATAGCATTCACTTGCCAAATAAAATTGGTGGTTGTGATAGAAATTTTTACACATACGTACTTGTTAATTCATTTCTCTTGGGTTTTCACACACAGGTACGTTGGACGGATTTCTAAAGGCATACATTGCCAAGTTTCGCTATGGAACAGTTACTACTGAACAGTGGAAGCAATTTCTCTTAGAGTATTTCCATAAGGAGGTGGTGAAGTTGTATGTTTTAAGGCAAAAGCGTATAGAAATCTCCATACAGGTTAGCAACGGGGTGTTGGAGGAAGTTGAGTGGGAAAAGTGGATAAGGGAACCTGGAATGCCACCTCTTAAACCAATGTTAGTTCACACAGTCGTTTTGAATGCTTGTGTGTGATTACTCCCGAGTTTAAGAGCTGAACATCATGGCTGTTCACGTGTATACACATTGTGCACGTATAATATTATGATAATTTTTGCAAACTCCAAATATGTAAAATCGCCGAGCTACCCGGTTCACTAGTCCTTGTTCCCCCACGAGATACGTTCATACATCCACTACCATGCCAAGAAAAATTGTGTGTTTAATGCAATATCTGCACAGGTTTGATACTACTCTAGCTGATGCAAGCCTTGCACTAGCAGAAAAATGGGCTGCTGTGCAGGTATATACAACATGGATAATACCTGTTCAACAAACGTTATATGCATAATCTTCTGGTCCTCAGGATATTTCATCAACCAGCCAGTTTTCCAGTGATGACATCACTAATATGAGCTCTCTTGCTCTCCAGTATTTTCTAGATGTACTCAAAACCAAGGTACTGTATGAGCATGCCAGCATAAAGTTTGTTAATTGTACAGACACAGGATTCAATGTGTTCTTTTGTGGCTGCAGCCTCCTCTCTCAGTCCAAGTGCTGGAGGCCATGGAAAAAACATACTCCTTCAACAGAACTGAAAATGCTGAAATCAAATACAGGTATACTAGGAATGCGCACGCGCATATTTTGCCTCGTGCCTGCCAGCCAATGCGTAAACACTCCGACTGAGGCCGCTCGTGCGCGTGCTCTACTGACTGCGCGCGAAGCCAGACTTCCTACGAATCTGTGCGAACGGCGGAAGCTAGACTTCCTACGAATGACAGAGGTGACATTCCTAAGCGTTACTAATTGACATTCTTAAGCGTGACAACACGTACGTACGCATATCGCGAGAATACAACCCGGAGTAGTTGCCTCACGCTAACAAGCTCGGCAATAATTTATCTTTTTCTGCCGTTGGAAGCTACCTCAGTGTCACTATGTTAGGTGGCTGCGGCTGTGTCTGAGAGGAAGATGGAGTGCATCCTATCCACTAGTAATTGAGCTGCTGTCGAAGCAAGGCAGGATGAAGTACATTGTCCCTTTATACAGGTATGGGGGTACATATAGGTAGCTAAGGTCCTATATATGTAGAGGTGTCACACCATTTCACTATATGACCTCCAAACCACACACTGACTCCATGACAAAATGTCCAATGATCACACTTGTAGCTCCCCCCAACATCCAGCACACATGATTACTGGGGATGTGATGTAAGCCTTGATGCTACGCCTCCATGTGATTTCACTGCACAGAGAGCTGTGTGAGTGTGGAGAAGAGGCAAAAGCAATGGCTACAGCAACCTTTACTGCAAATGAGCACTTCTATCAAATGATGGCTGCCAAGAAGATCAGTGACATCTTGAAAAGCAGCGGTTGTTTCTAAAAACCTTTACTTCCCTGGACACTGTCCTTTTGTAAATGAGTAATTTTTGCAGCCCTTTGTCCAAATCATGGTGTATAATAATTATCATGTGCCCTTTCGTGCTGCAATCCTCTAACGGTACGAGACATTTATTATTGATGAGCAAAGCGAGCCAACCTAGTCATGAATGCGGAATTTTTCCATACATCTATACATAATTATAGTTATATAATTATCTGTAACCGCGGACGGACCGACATCACATATTGTAATGCTTACGTGATTCTAAATACGCACGAAAACACACATGAAATATTGAACTTCTTGCTTTGCTCGGCAAAAATGTGTTATAGTATTCCAGGAGCACAATTGGAAGTCCTCAACTCCTATACTAGCCTTCTGCCTTCTCAATCCATGCGGGAGTTGCAAAGGTATTGTTTAACTATAGGCTACTACACTTCAGCCTCAGAATAGAGTTTAACTTGTGTAATTTTGCATAATCGCTTAAGGGGGGGGGGGGGTTCCAGGCAAATAATTCGAAAAATTATGAATTTTGTTTTTTTATATTTTTAGTGTCTATAGGTATTATGCATCATAGATCCTAGCTAACAGAGCCATATCTTGCATAGTTAAATAGTTATAGTTAGTAAAAGAGTCCCTCTACCTTCACTTTCCCGCGAACTGGCCGAGAAAACTATCTTATGTAGCCGACTTTTGCCCGCTCCGTAGCTCCCTTAACACTGGCAAAAATTGCACTAGGTCACTAGTGAATGAATAGTGCCTTGAAGCACAGCAAACAAACATTTTTTCCAATAATGGCTATACTCCTACCTTAAACATTTTTGCTTCAAGGCACTATTCATTCACTAGTGACCTAGTGCAATTTTTCCCAGTGTTAACTTAGCCAGCTTCTCAGGAATAATGTATGCAAAACGGCATTTCAGTTGATACAAAATTCAGATCCACGTATGTATATAGCATTGCAATAACGTATGTCATTGATCATAGTGTTGCCAAGGGATATTTGACGAGTGCACAGCAAGGGTTGGCTCTCACTCCAACTTGCCCAATTATACACAATTAACCACTTCCTAAAACTTGGTAAGTGCCTGCAAAGTATATACCTGTAGTATTGGTATATTAATAAAACTCTTTATGCATGCATGTGGTAAAAGCATGCACACATCATGACTCAAAACCTGCCAATGTAAGTAGCAAAGAAGGACAGGGGATTCGCACTAAACTCCTTAACTAAGTTGCCGAAAAATTGCACTGGTATGCCTAATTATCAGGTACCAACGAGATCAACCATTTTGAGGAATAATAATTATAACAAAACAACGAAGAGAGTTCAAAAACGAGACAATGTGGGATTGAAGCCAAAGAGTAGGGTTTTAGTACGACCATACACTGGTGGTTTTATTTGGGATTGTGTGATGGGGTTGGGGTGTCAGCGTACTCAAACCTGTTCATTACCCATGCTTCATGTATCCCATCCCTATCTTGTCTCCCTTTCTTTTTACTATCCCTATATATATGCCTCTTTTTTTAATTCGCAGGATTTTTAATTTACTTGTAATAATATGCAAGGGGAGGTTCAATGCAACCCTGAAACATGATGTAGGGATGTTTTCATCACTGGTCTGCATTCTCTTTTATATCAGAAGTGCTTTGCAAATTTGGGTTGTTAAAAAAATGATGAGAGATTAACGGTGTGTTCTGCGTGAACTGACTCCTGGGACTCACAGCTGGCAAATATTTTACGCAGATTGACCCACAAGTTTTTCTATTAAAGGGTTATTGCCTGAGTACACTAATAACATATTAGCTCACACTGGAAGGTTTATATCATAGGTCATCTAAATCAACACAGACACGTAGAACCAGCATGTAGCTACAACCTATGGCAAATACACTTTCACTCCCAGAATACAACCCTCTCTATATCGAGACTAAATTCACAACTAATCTCACCATTGCTGCTTGGATATATTATACTCATGCACATTACGCAATTTTTTCAATGACTCTTATCAATATAAAAGTTTGTAATAGCATAGTAACAAAAATGATATTATTAATTACAAACGTCCAGTAAGCATCAAAAACTTGCCCTTTATTACAGATGCTGCTGGAGGTGACAACATAAACACACTTACCAAGAGGACGATTGAGAGCAGTGATATCTGCCAGGAAATGTAAGCATAGTGTATGTTGTGTGACTCAAACAGAAATGCAAACACAATTCCCAAGAAACAAGACAAGGCCAGTATATAGACCATGACATTCACTGATTTAGCCATTTCAAAGTACCTCCTGTTGACCCGACGATTCAGCAAAGATAGAACCACAATGCAAGTTACAAGGGAAAGAATGACAGCGTAAGCTAGCGAAATCCATAGAGAAAAGTAGGAGCAGCGGCAGTAAGCTCTTTCTAGTATAATTGGCTGGTCTTTTCTATCATACTCAATGCCTTGCTCTTCAAACACTGCCAGGAGAGGATCAACTGTAGTCCAGAGAACAAGGATGACAACATTCACAGTCACCACCACAACAATGAACAAAGTCAGACTAAAATCCGATATGAGGTAGCTCCTTGTATTAAAGTGGTTAAAGATGCGGTAAATCCTCCACAGCATTCCACAAAGTGTGCCCATTACAAGAGAGACACCGATACTGTTGAGCCACTCACTGATGTTGCACACCACACCAAAGGCTATGTCTCGTGTGTAGTATTCGTCTCGGTTCGTGGTCTCCCAGCCATTTGCATGTGCAGCGGCTGTTAGGAATACTCGCAAAAGAATGAGATAGCATCCAGAGAACATAAAGTGGGACATTGAAAAGCTTGCTGCCTTAATTGATCTGTGGCTGTGGAATGCGATGAATATCGTGTGAAGGGCAAGAGCATACACAACCAGGGCTATCACCAAGAGGGTGACTATTGTTGTAGCTGCAGGATGAACACCAATGACTCTCCGATGAAATTCGTCAACAACAAACTCAGCCTCGTCCGAGAGGATCTTTATTCCAGTCCCATTGTAAACACCGATTAGGACGCTTTCACCATTGATGCACTGATGGATATTAAGTGGTGTACTCGAGTCTTGAGTGCTCTTTCGAAACGCTATTCTTCCCATTATCCCCTCGAAAGTTATCTGATTTAAATGTTTTCGGATTATGCTGGTTGTCTCTGGTTGTCCGTGTCTGTATTCTGAAAGAGGAACGGTTGCGTTCTCATAGAAAGTTGCATTCAATGCTAGTGCAAGGGCCCATGTAGCGTCATAGTACGACAGTGCATATTCTTTTGCATCTGCTTCAAATGCCCTCTCTTGTGGGGCCAGTTGTTCCAGGTGTTGTTTGTGGTATTCAGCATAGCATTCATCGTATTGTGTCACTGTTAGGCCGACATCTGTTGACTGCTCTTTGTCTTCACGACCAAAAAATCTGTACGTTGTAAACAGAGCCCCTTCTACGGCTTTGTTCATCATGCTTGCCGAGCAGTTATAAAACCTACCGTTTAAAGTGAAATGAGTGTTTGTAATAAACAGGTCCTTTGTCTTGTCAACTATGATCCACTGGTAGACAGGGTATATCAGCTGTGGCTTGTTGTGGTAAGCCAGACACATTACCTCTCTAGCTAACTGATTTCCACCAATTAAGACAATTACTTTGTACTGGGCCTCTATGCTTCCCAAGGGGTAGAATGTTTCATCAATCGCGGAATCAAAGCCAATTTTTGCAGAATAGTTGATTAAAAGTTGCTCCGATATCAGACGAAAGTATACGCGAGTGCTGTCGTGCAGAACGGCCACATTCTCCCACGAGTTGAGAGCCATGAGCTCAGTGACAGCTCCGATATGCTGGAGGACAGTGCTGAGTGTGCGGAACGTGTTGCGATACTTGGCAGTGTCAGTTAGCAGAGGCGAGGTTGCTCCGGGTGATATCTGGATTAGGCTGATGGTGTCTCTAGCTCCTAGCGTACCGAGGAGGAGCGCCGACTCAGAACACGCAGGCCCGATAACGCCAACAACGTGGGAAGACGTCCTTACCTTCGCACCGTCGTAGAAAACGTTCGACACGAAACTGTACGTCGACTTGGGTCCGTTCTGACAGCCAGAGTTTCCTTCCAGTAACTGTATCTCGTATCCCGGGAGAATGTCTGTCCTGTTGTTGATGACATCAACGGCCAGTCTCACTGCGGGGATGACGGCAGGCCCGGCCCTCCAACCGGGGTCGGCCTGTCCTCCGCCACCTGCGTAGGGAGCGAGCGCCAGAATTGATATTGAGGTCTTGTCTTCTTTCCCGCCACTAGTGACGTGGTGACATGCTCTTAGCAGACGAAAAGTGACTACGAGGATAAGTATCACTCTGCCGGGGGAGAACCTTCTCTTCATTGGAACAGCACTGCAGGAGCAGCTAATCACCTGTAGCTGGTAGACAATAGCGCAACGACTAGGGTATCGGTTACGCCTTCCTATAGTATATAAAAATAATTCCAGGAAAAAATTGCCGTACGTATAGTTTTACGCTAGCTATTTTCCGGTTTGGCTTGCATGAATCATTAGTGGGGTATGGCAAGTGCAAACCGAACAATATGACACCCAGGGCAGCATAATAATTATTTCCAAGGAAAAAGAGAGCTGCCCTATATATAGCTAGGTGGGACAAACAGCACTGTGCAGTCTGAGCAGAGTCCTCCGCCACCTGAGCTACCAGGGCGGCTCAGCTGGCAGGGCTCCAAGTCTACTTCCACCCTACAAAGCAAGCGCAAATCCCCAAATGTCTGTATGTTGAACACAGGAATTCAATAGGAGCGGGGTGGGGCGGTGACTAAACAATCGAAGATTCCTGAACTAGTTAATAGTATTGAGCCTCACACATCACATGCACTGAGCTCTTTATTTTTCCTTGGAAAAAAAGAGCTGTCCTAGGTGTAGTTGATTTGTTTGTTGTGCCTTTGCCTTTCTACCTCATAGTTTTCACTGCACACTAGATACAACACGACATTTACAACACGTCACGTGGCAACTGCGTGAATCTCTTGCAGGAGAAAACGATGCAAACACAATCTGCGCACATAATTATGTCACATGGTCTGCACGCAGGGTAAACATGAACGGATTTAACACAGTGGTTGGTATTATAAACAAACACATAGGTGACAGTTATTACAGTGCACGAGCCACTAAAAGTTTATAAACCTCTCGTTGAGTAATTTGGAACTGTGATTTGACAGTTTTGACAGTGCGTAAGTCGTTGGCTTGGGATCTATTGTGAACTTGGTCTATAAATTACATATAAACCCCCGTCGTGTCATACTCTGCTATAAGGTCGTTATTAGCATTTCGTGATGTTCAATGATTATTGCTACCTCACATAAGTCTGTAGTTCAAGCATACGTTCAGTTACTGAGGTTTGAAAGCGGAGCAAAGCAAGTACAAACCACAAAAAAATGACACCGTGCATGGCTGACAGACCCACTATGTTTTTCTGACGTAGACACATGTCTAGTGTTACAGAGACACAGTCTTTTTAAACACTGTAGCTACATGTCTATAAGTGGCTTGTCCCCAAAACACACTTGGCCTTCATTTCTGACTACACTCATTGCTAGCACACCTGATAGCTATAATATATGTCCCTGTCTGGAGAGATTGCTATTTTGAATGATTGTTAATGTAACTGGGAATGTGTTTGTCACGTGGAGCTGGTTATCAACACTTACTGTAACAACATTACGCATGAAGTTATTGTACTCCCTTCAACTCCTCAATTCCACACGGGAAAACAAATTTTGTTGTAGCTCTGTGTTATGAGCATAATTTTTTACATCATCCTGTGTTGCTTATAAATGCACTTATGAGTGGACAATAACAGTATAACCCTCGCTGTGCATGCACACAGGTGAGTGACGGTTTCCCATGCCACAGTTGATGCTTCTTCACCAATCAATTGGGTTATGGAGAATGCGCACAAGTGATTGTTGGGTTACTGAACCTTCCTCGTTCCAGAGTTAATGAACCATTTTGTATCAGGTTAAGCTGGAATGACCCTTGGTGGATTTTTTACAAACATTGATAGAACACCAAATTTTCCTCTTACAGTTGAGAATAGTTATTCTTGATGTGTGGTGATGATAAACCACTTCTGCTAGAGAATGGCTTATGGAGGGCTATGGAACGGAAAAGGCCCATACTCTACCCTCTCTGACTTCGCTCTACATTGCAGCATGCATCTTGGTACAGCAGTGCACATTTATTTTGCACACTTTTGACATCAATAAATGTTTCCTGCCTGCATTAGGTATATACTGCCCTGAAGCTATAGGTAGGTGTCGCACACGGTGACGCACCCTGAGGTGAGCCTGTGCGTAGGGTGGGCTTTGTGTATATACCAATGTGCCATGCATACTCACCGATCGATCATGCTCGAGGAGGCGCGGCGCTATCCGGGTCAACACTTCCGTTCACGCCCGGCGCCCACAGGACCGGTGCTTCTTGAGGCGCGACGAATAGTATTAATGGTGCGCATGCGTTAATTCGCCGTTACTCGCCGCATATAAACGAAAGCGCGCTTAGACCGTGCGAGCACCTGGGACAGCGCTGCCAGCATAATTATCAGTGTGAGATGGCTTCTACCGCAGAGTATGTAGGTGCGTGAAACGTACCAGTAAATAGGTAGGCAGAACGCAATACAGCAATTTGGAACGCCTATGATGGTCCTGGCTACGCGCTGCATATTGCACGTGCGCGTGGTAATCCCGAAATCGGCTGTAGTACAGCGGAGTCACAGCGGATTTCCTACCGGTAAAGGTTGTGAACGCGAACGTTTCGCGAGCCAGAGCGTCGGAAAGACCCCTCATATCCGCATTACATCCGGCCTGCGAGTCGGGCGCACCGAAGGTCTCTAAAACACGTGCAACAAACAACAGGTGGATGTATATACTGCACGTAGCTATACAAGGTGAGGCTCAATACTCATCAACAGTATAATGTATATTCCGTTAATATAACCACGACAAAATGCTAAATACAGGGGTTATCTCTTTGTGTAGGGTGTCAAGAAGCTCACTCTCACAGCGATGTAGGCTGGGGGGGTGAACATGAAGCCACACACTAGGCACACGATAGAGAGCAGAGAAAACTGCCACAGCACGTATGTGTAGTGAATATCAAGTGACTGCAACTTGAACGCCAGTCCATTCCCAAGGAAATATGTTGGGGCAATCATATAGACCATGAGATTCACTGATTTGGCCGTCCGGAAGTTTCTTCTGCTTATGCGACGATTCAGTGACGACAGAACCACAACGGAAGTCAGTAGAAGGAGAAGTACAGAGTATATAATGGCAATCCATAGATTGTAGTACTGGCAGTGACAAGACACTCGCACTAACAGCACAGGCTCATCTTCTCCATCATATTCAATGCCTTGTTGTTCAAATGTTGCAAGGAGGGGATCAACTGTAGTCCAGAGAACAAGGATGACAACATTCACAGTCACCACCACAACAATGAACAAAGTCAGGCTCAGATCAGATATGAGGTAGCTCCTTGTATTGAAATAACTGAAGATGCGATACACCCTCCACAACTTCACACATAGTGTGCTCAGTATCAGGGACATGCCAATGCTGTTGAGCCATTCGTTGATGTTGCAGATGACACCGAGGGAAACATCCCGATTGTGAATATCAGCTGCAGTTTTAGTCTCCCAGCCATAGGAGAATGCTGCTAATGTAAAAAATGCTTGACAAAGGAGAAGGTAGCAACCGGAAAACATAAAGTGAGACAGAGTGAAACTTGCTGCCTTGATTGACTGGTGTCTTTGGAAAGCGATGAATATGGCATGAAGGCACGCTGTGTAAACTGCTAATAGGATGGAAGTAGCAAGGGCAATGACTGCCACTGCGTGGTTAACACCAATAACAGCATTGTGGAATATTTCAGACACAAACTTTGCCTCCGTGGAAGTCAAATCCAATGTCGTTCCATCATACACCCCAATCGAATTACATTCCCCTTTAATGCATTGGTTAATGTTGACTGGAGTATTAGAGTCCTGTGTGGTGCTGTTGAAGGAAATGTTTCCCATTAATCCATCAAATTTTAGGTCTCCCAATTGCTGTCTGATGATCTTTGTAGTGTGAGGTTGGCCAAACGTGTAATCTGTCAGTGATATTTTCTCCAGCGAGACATTGATTGCTAGTGTAAGAGCCCAGGTAGAGTCATAGTAGGACACAGCATAGTCTTCAGCATCTGGTTCGTAAGAGTAGTCCCTGTCGTTCTGCCTCAATTCTGCCAAATATTCTCTCAGGTATTGCTGATAGAGTTCCTGGTAGTGCTCAAGTGTTAGGTCGACATCATTGAGTAATAATTTGTCTTCTTGTTGCTGAGAAGTGAATTGAAAATACGTTAAGATTGTTCCTTCCAAGGCTTCCTTCATTATTTCACGCGTGCAGTTGTAAAACTTTCCGCTGTGCCTGAAGCCAATGCTTGAAGTTAATCCATGCTTCGAATAATCGACCATTATCCACTGATATACAGGATAAACGAGTTTTGGTGTGTGGTGGTAAGCTAAACACATCACCTCCTTCATCATTTCGCCTCCAGCAATGAGAATAATGACCTTATAACGTGCCTCGATGCTCCCAAGTGGGTAGTGAGTGCTATCAATTGCTGATTCGAAACCTATCTTTGAGGGTTGGGCAGCTAATAACATTTCCGACTGTAGGCGAAAGAACACACGGCTATTGTCGTATAGTACGGCCACGTTCTCCCACGAGTTGAGAGCCATGAGCTGAGTGACAACCCCAATGTGTTGGAGGGCAGTGCTGAGCATGCGGAACGTGTTGCGATATTTGACGGTGTCAGTTAGCTGAGGCGAAGTTGCTGCAGGTGATATCTGGATGAGACTAATACCGTCTCTGGCTCCCAGTTTACCGACGAGTAGAGTTGACTCAGAACACCCTGGTCCAATAACTCCCACCACGTTTGAGGACGATCTCTTTAGCACTACGCTCGTCGCGAACTTGTACATGGTTCCGAGACTGTGTTCGCAGCCAGAATTTTCCTCCAGTAGTTGGACGTGGTATCCCGGGAGAACGTCTGTCCTGTTATTGATGCGATCGACGGCCAGTCTCACGGCGGGGACGACGGCAGGCCCGGCCTTCCAGCCAGGCTCGCCCTGGCCCTCGTACCCACCCCCGTAAGGTGCCAACACCAGAAGTGTTACATTTCGCACAGTAACAGCAGTGTCCGCAGTGGAAACTCGAAGTAGAGTAGTAACTGAGATTAGTATCCAGTGGACGAAACCCATAACATTTCGAGAGAGAGTGGAGAGTGACTCGCCAGCGTATTATCCGCGTGTCGCGAACGCGTGCCTGTCTAATTATAACTGCGCATGCGTACGTGCGGTTGACACAAACAGAGCCGCAAAAGTTGTAGTTATTGGAGGATTTTCCTCTCATACATAGCTAAAATCAACTCCTATTTGGACAGTAATAATACTATTGAGTCCCTTCATTATACCTTTGAATCCTACATCCCTCCTGTGGATAGACTAAGTAGCGTCCGTTGCGGGAGTAGAAGTGACGAAGAGCGGCCATGGTCTGTGAGTAGGGGGAGCGGTGATCGGTCACAAGCACCGTACTATTTAGCTGCAGGAAAAACCCAATGGCAAAGTGAAAGAGAGCGTTTCGCTCGGTCATTGGCAGTTTCAGGGTGTACTTTGTCTTGTTTTGCCTCTGAATGTCCACCGTGTAACGTTCCTTACTGTACACTCTACCGTCCTTTTTGAGGCTCCGTGCATACTTGAGGGCTCCTTCGAGAAAGACAAAGTTGTTAGAGGCGAGCACCCACACCGGTCTTCTGAGCCTCAAATGTTTCTCCACTCTCTCGGTGCACTGCACAACGTCACTGCCCACGCGAGACACATGTCCAGTCGGGAAATGTTGATCCGGGAAAGGAATGTTCAGAAAGATAATGTCGTTTGATTTGGACCAGCCTATCTTGCGCAGGAACCCCTGCATCGAGCGCCGGAGGGACTGGGAGAGGGAAAACAGGTTGTGCCAAATGCAGCACACCAGACACGGTGCCTTGTGGAGTCCCAACTCTTCTATCTTTGCCTGGTAGTGTTTGTTCCTCAGTAGAGCATACGTAAAGTCGTAGCTGTGTGACTGCACTACCTCAATGTCTCGGGTGAAGTACTGGTTGAAATCAGTCTCGACGTACCAGCGCACACTCTGGCCCTGGGCATCAAACCAGTATGAACTCCCTATATCGTGTACACTGGTGACTCGGAGACCGTTCTTGAAGATAGCCGAAGACCTCCAATCAATTTTACGAGGGGTGACTTGGTTATCGAAACCGGGTGGGGATTTCCAGTCCAGAACAAACACTCTGTCTGTGCAGGAGAACACACAGGTGGTGGAATGGTGATCACACACAATTATTATGACTACACCTCAATTACGGTCTGGGAGATTAAGTAGGTGCCAAGGGCTGGCTACCTTTTCTTCTGGAAACAGACAGTCCTAAGTACATTATGATCATCAACTAACCCACTAATAGTCTGATTTCAGTTGCTAATAGGGTTGCCAACCATAAACAAATGTAGAGTACACTTTCACAAGGCATATTAATTGTGTGAAAAATGTAGAGTATGCAGGGTTACCTGTGAGTAGTGCCAGGAGGAAAACGGTTGCAATGCCTTTCATGGCCTGAGGGATGCCCTGTATGATGGGAGGGAACCCGGTCCCGGTGGTGTAGACCAGGTAGGAGGCCGACCTCTTGCCCGACAGAACCTCTGGAGTAGAATATACAATGCATTGCACTTCAGCAGTTTCATGATCACATAGGTTTAGATTTCTACGCAAAAAGCAATTGCTGGAGGGCTATAACTAGAGTATTGATGCATATCTGTAGCCAGAAACTGGAACCAAATTTAGCTGGTTTCTATTACATGCAGGACACGCCCAGTGCATGTACTACTTTGAGTGTGCGAACTCTCTGGATTTCAAGCTGTCCATCATTACATTCAGTATGTTGTGTACCATTGTACATAATATATTAAGACCCATAGGCTTAGTATGTATGGCTGCAAATTTGCCAAACAGAGTTTGTGATTCGCCCACGTACATTTATAATGTGTCATATACCTCGGTGGAACTTGGTGTATACTTTCTGCCACTTGCCACAACCGCCGGCTGGGTACAGACTGTTCCAGAGGGGAGCATTGAGGGGGTTACTCGGCCAGGGAGGAAGATCCAACTCACTTCCACTATCATACCAGTCATCCTGTCAGACATAATGGTTACTACAAATCACTATGGACATGCATACTGGTGGATTTTTCCCATAAGACATTAGAGGGTACGAACTGTAATGATGTAAACGGCACTCTAAAGGCTTTAGGACGAAAGTGAGACGAACCTGACACCAGGGCCAATAGTATATCTCGACAACTATCACTGTGATGAATACCACTATGAGCATACACCGCCGTCTCCATCTCCATCTCCGCCAAAGCCTCGGGAGCATCCTACACATTAGATACATGATACAAGTAGCACCTAAATTGGTATTACCTCTTGCGATGCCTTGGTATATAGAAAGGTTCCCGTCTTCTCCCCAGCAACCAATCCTGTGTAACGGCATTGCGGACGGACAGCTGACCATGAATGCTGCCAGCTCAGCACCTTTGCACCTAAACCAGCCCCTCCTCCAAACGTCATAGAGGTGTGACACGCCCCCAAGACACTCTCAAGATGGCCTCGCGTTACGGCTCACCTTTGGCGCTTGCACTCATACTATTAGCAGGTGCAGTATGTCAGGGCTCCGATCTACCATACGACCCTCTTCCCTACGAGATCTACTGGAACGTGGCCGACTCAGACCCACCGGGGATCGACATCTCCGACTACAACATCTTCCCTGCCAACTACACCCAGACCGGGAACAGTTGCTCGAACCCGGGCTGCAGCTCCTGGACCCAGGGGGTCTTTCCCACCATCTCCTCCACTGGACACACGGTGAACGGAGGAGTCCCTCAGAGAGCCAATCTCTCCGAGCACCTCTGGACACTGGCTCGCGACGTGACTCACTGGATTCCCGACCCTGACTGGGCAGGCAATGCAGTGCTTGACTTCGAGTCCTGGACAACGGTCTGGGAGCTCAACACAGGCGGCGATGGCGAAGACTGGCACAGTCGCAGGTTAGCTCTCATACTGAGCAATAGCTACATAGCTAGCTACGTATCAACGTTGTAACTTGTTGCTGGCAACCTAGCAGGTACATGTACGTGTACCTAGCTAGCTAGCTATGTATAACACGCACACAGAGGTCATAATAATGTCAATTCGTGGTTGAAGGTACCTAGAATATTCTCTGGAGCTGGAGAAAGAAAAGTATCCAGACTGGGACACTGAAGAACTCTATCTGCTGGCAAGAAAAAACTTCAACATCAGTGCTCTTGACTTCTTTGCTGAAACACTCAGAACACTCGCCACCCTTAGACCAAAGGTGTGGTTTAGAACTGTGATACGAATATTGTTGCTTGACTCTCGCTACTGCCAGGCCAAGTGGGGATTTTATGGCCTGCCAATGAACTTCAATGGGCCCTGTGACGGTAATGGAACGGTAAGTCTTTCCCAGCGACTTCCCAACTCACTATACTCTGCATGCTGGTCTTCCCACAGTCCATGGTGTGTGGATATGACTCTGGAGTTGGAAAACTCTACCGGCAGTTCAGTGATGAGCAGAACTTGGTCTGGGAATCAAGTACCGCTCTCTATCCCAGGTGCTCTTAACTGCTTACCTCTTATATATACCTACCTCGTGCCAAGGGGTCAAACGCAAGCCTAGAGACTGGAAGTCCACTCCCGATCAAAGCACTGAGCTACAACTTCCGTGTAGTGTTAGATGACAAGTCATAGGAAACTCTGCAGATTGGCGCCATACCGTTCCTCCTCATCCTACAGAGGAAACTATACTATGTAGGATAGTTGACCAATCAGATTGAAGAATTTCAAACTGCCATACTCTAAACAAAAGCCCCAGTCTCCATGCACGTTCCCTCATAGCTAACCCCACCATTGGTCATTGTCCATTCAAGCAATCTCACACACAAGATGTCGTAGCTCACTGTGTGGGGCGTGGGCACTGGATTCCCAAAGTCCAACTGCTTCTCTTTTCATCTCCTGCTGTCCTGACTTGACCGCAAGCAACTGATCTATCCATCCCCGTACTCAAAAAGTGGGGCAACCCAAGCTACCTACCTCTCATCTTTGCTTATATAGAGTCATATATTCTCTCCCACTAAAGATGTTCTCTCAAACACTGGTCACAGCATATACTTGCCTCCTGGAAGAACTGTGGATGAAAACGCAGCCTACGTCCACTCAGTGATAAAGGAGACAGTCAGGAAAGCTGAAGACAGGATCCCAGTATATGGCTTCCACTGGAACTGTGAGCTCCCCGGCATGGTTAATGTAATGAACTAATACTGCACATACAGTAGATAGATAGTTGGTATAATATTATAGGCAATGGACTAAAAAGAATCCTCTACCAAAATGAGAGCTTTAACCGTTTTTACAAATGATAAGTGCATCAGGCACAAAATGTTGACTCCTTTCCACAGACTATCATGGCGGTAAATCGCTGCTGAACATGGACGACCTCAAGTCAGGGCTGGTGGGGCCGTATGACGCTGGAGCTAAGGGAGTGGTCATCTGGGGCAGCAGCAGCGAACGTGCTCTCCCCGAGTTTCTTGATGTTCGTAACCTTACACAGAGCAATACGTGCAAGCAAAGTTTATGTTGCCATGAGCGTCTAAGCCCAATAGAAAAGACAGTGGCTGTAATTCGTGTGCAAAAACACTATAATTATAGTGAGCGTGTTGTGGCCTTCCTTTGACCGCAGTATGTGAGGGATCATATGGGACCACTGGCCAGAAACTTTACTGAGCAGATGTGCAAGTGCAGTCAAACCTACTGTCACGGTCACGGACGCTGCATGCCAAGGTAATCTACAACTGCTACGTATGGTGGGGAAACTCGTTAGCAGTCATCCATAAACGCTTTCGCTGCGAAATTTTGTGAGAACGAACCATTTTTAGAGCAATCACAAACACAAGAAATCTAATTGTAGCACACTTTAATAGCATCATACAATTTCACCACTCTATCTATAGTCTATATACCATGCTAACCACAACTTTACGCAGCTCCAGCACCAACTGCCAATGCTACCCAGGATACTCTGGTCCTAGCTGTGAGAAAGCTGACCCCAAGAGACTACATGTGAACAGTAACTGACATCTACACACTCACATGGTCAACATAGGTCATAAAACAGAGTGGTGTATGTACAAATTACAACTATGACGAATGCATAAACGTTAGCGAGCAAAGCGATCCCACACAAGCTTACCTATAGTACTGAATTGTTGCCACATGCGTGAACATCACGTAAGCTACAATTATGACTTTGTTGCATTCACTCACCCAAAAAAAATCCATAGCAAAGATTGGTGAAAAACACTAATGTGCAACCATAGAACTGTAAAAATCTTTCATTCCACAAATTATAAAAATGAATATCTTGTTCATGTGTATACATGTCCGTTGTAGTATGTATGTACGTTGTGTGTCGCAGCATTGAGTTAGAGATTTGTCATCTGGTGTGGCTAGTAGTGGCTGGGGACAGTTTCGAGAGCCTCGTCATCTGAGCGACACAAACTTGAGGTCTATGAGCAAAGAGATTTCTTGTCACAGTACAGGTGTGAAGCATGAGGACATGTCAAGGTAGACAGCGTACAGACAAAATAGAATGCTGTTGAAGTATGTACATTAACCTGTAGTTCAATTTTAACACTTAACCAGCCATGGTGACATACATGTGTCCAGAGCCTCCACATGTCCATTATGGGGGTTATAATACTAGGTACTTAATTTCTGCTTATTTAAGCAGATCCCCATGGCGTCCAATGGGGTTACACTCTGAGACGTAGGCAGAGCACAGAAGTGGCTCAAGGCGAAAATATATCACAACCCAATCAACCACGGCAGCCAGGCTGTGTAGCGTTGGCAGAAAAGGTGGAGATTTGGGAGATGTTTCGTTCAGTATCCTCAACTTGTCTGCACCCATGTGGCCTGGTGTACTGTGTGTGCACTCAGTTCACACACAAGGAATGTGCGTTACCTTACATCTCAGATTATGACAAACGTACACATCTACATCAGAGATTACGAATACATAATTATATCCGCGATGCGTATCATTATCATGCATGTCATTACTGTACTGTCACCGGCTCATTGTTACGAAAATATGTAACTTATGGCGGAAGTGATGTTAATATTGGTGACTGATGAGATGGCGACACACATGGTGGTATACATATACACACAGACACACAAAGTGTGCAATAAATAGAACTAGTAGTTCAGTGTACCTTGGGTTTACTACGGTATGTGTCAACGCAGGCAACTGGTACCGGGAACTGCTCCATCTTACAACCTTCAGCAAAACATACACACACTTACTGAGAGAATCATTTTTATTGTACAGTTTGTGGTCCACTTTGTGAAAAACATACACCTATGTATATATTGATTCACAAACCTTCCCTCTTTGAAGGTTCTCCATGCAACATTACTGATACTAGACGCACCTACACAGACTGAGGGAGTTGATCTTACCATAGGCGACAGGGGTGAGTTTGACAATGGTGTGTAGAGGGACCTTGATGTAGGGCAACTCCTCCTTGGTGTTGTCCATGAAGTAGGCCACAATACATCTCATCACAGCCTGTAGGAGGCAACAGTACAACACATCATCATGCACCCAGCGCTTCAGGACGTGGTTTGACTATGCAGTGCTGCCTTCGTGTGCAGAATCAAGAGTACGGATTTCCTGTTCTTTAAGAAAGCTCAGCCTTAGGGGCCAAGAATGCACTAGTAGTGCACATAATATTACTCTACAAATTGTACATTTTGGAGTTACACATCCAAGTCTGAAACATTCTTGTTGGGAGACCAAAAATGACAGGAATTTGCCTTACCTGGTGACAGATGACCAGCACATTTTCTTGCCTCTCCAGTTCCTAGAATAAAGTAAGGTGTATTTCGTTGTAAGAGCTACTAAGGTGCAAACTGTATTCAAAGATTAAAGTAAACATCTAATACCACTGTGGTATAATTATGCAGTACATTAGCCTGTAACCAGTCCCTTCCTCGCTCTGCTAATTTTTTTGCCTGTAAACATGAACGATCACAGAAAAGAAGGGCCCCGATTTGAGATGATGATGTGTACATGCATACATACCATGATGACAGGCTCCAGTCTGTGGACTAGGTCCTCGTAGGACTCCCCCTTTGGGTAGCGGTAGTGGAACTTGTCCTGGTCTCTCAGAGCAAACTCCTTTGGGAACTTCTCGTGGATCTCCTCGTACGTCATCGCCTCACACTCTCCCTGCGTAGCATCACCACAATACAACACTAATGAGATACGTACGTACACTATGTGTGTGTATGGAAGGGGAGGGTTGATAGTTGGTTTCGTTCTTATTATTACATACTCTTTCTGCTGGTGTGCTAAATGCCATGGCCTAATAAGCCAAGTGAAATACTTGTTACATGAGACAATAAATTATGGAGGGATGCCCCTACCACATCAAGTTCGTTGAGGGCCTTCCACTGTTCCACAGTACCAGATAGGTGTTTGGCTGACTGCACTGTTCTCTTCAACTGACTGGTCCAGATCTGCAACAACACAAGGTTCATGGTTATGTATGTACGTTACATGATGTACAACAGAAGACAGCACATGCAAATCATGTGCACTCACACTACACACTTTACACTTTATATTATGCAGAGGGTCAGTTTTTTCGTCCTGTGCTAACTTCATAATTTTACTCTTGCTAGCAGGCACCAGACACGGAACACGAAGTCTTTCTCATTCAGGAAACTTATTCCTTCCCAGAATGCTTTACAGTAGTAGCGGCACATATGTACATGCACATGTACACGTAGTGCACTAAAGATACATAGGAACCTTGAATCCGTGCATGTGCTGCTCCTCCATGAAGTCTTTGAGGGCCTCGGAAAACTGTGGGATGCATGTACAGATACTGTATGACTGACTGTGATCAAAAATCAACTGTAGCTATGTGTATGTTCAGACCTGTTCTCCTCTGTGGGAGAGAGGTGAATCTCCTCCAATCTTCCCGTACAGGTTACAGACACTCTCACCATGCTGGACACACAGAGATTTCCCCGCATTAGAGTGCACCGTACGTACATATGTAGCAAGAGACAGTGCCTACCCGACAGAGGTATATACATCTAGGCTGCGTGTGTACATTCATGAGGTAGTACACCAGTCTGGCCTGGAAATGTCCTGCAGGAGACACACACACCGTTATATACAGACCCTGATGTAACATACAAACTAGAGAGACTGTACACAATTATGTACTAGGTACACATATGTAACTATGGAAACCTCCTCATAACAGATGGAATGTAGAGATTGGCATTACGTACGTACATCTGTGAGGTTGTAATAATGATTGTGGAAAACATGTTAAGTCCACGTATGGATGGACTTATCTGGTTTTCCCACGGGATCATGTCAGCATTACCTTCTATCCTGTTGGCCTCGTACCTGTCGTCGACGTTATAAATCTTTACCCAGCTCAGTTCTCTGTGATTCACACAGACACACACAGAGTTAGACACCACACTGAGACGTGTATAGAGAGGAGACGTTACTTGTCAGTCTTGGTGTCCAGTGGCTCGTAGGCCAGCTCGTAGTTCTTGATCCTCAGCTGGAAGTCAACAACAGCTGTGTCCACTTCAGTGTCCTTGTAGTCAGGACTGCACAGCTTCACCTCCTGTAATACAACAACCAACACACCAGAACACCTAGAACACCTCTCGTCAAGAGCGTATGCCTTTATACACTTGCAGTACCAAGTCGCCTGGCCTTATTCGACTAGTCTCAGTAAAATTCAGAACTTGCTATACACACGGGCAAATTTCTTGCAGCAAGTTGCTTCGTGTACATATGATGCAGTAAGTACAGCATGTGCATTACACAGCGTTTGGTCACCTTGATATTCTCCAGGATAATCTGGGGGTCATCGCAGATAGACTCCACAAAGAACACCTACAGTGTATCATTTGCTGCGATGTGAAATATAGAGCAGAGTGCTCGACCAACCTTTATACCGAAAGGCAGACACTGCTCCAATATGAGTGCACGCCTCTCCTTTGTAGTGTTGGTGGCATCGAAAACCTGCACCATTGCATATAGTAGTAATGTGTCACACCGACATCAGTCTATGTGGTGTGTGATATTGCCTAAGAGAGCATTAGATGTGATAGGTATTGGCTGAGAGAGCGATAGATATTGGCTGAGAGAGCATTAGATGTGATAGGTATTGGCTGAGAGAGCATTAGATGTGAATACCGCTGCTTTGCCTCCGTCTTTTAGGAGGAATTGCTGCATATCCGCTAGAGCAAGGCGAGCACACTCCCTGTGCAAATACAGAATACACAACCGTGAATGGAAACACCAGTTTTCACTTCCACAGCTATACACTGCTATAGCTGTTCTTTGAGGGCATTGGTTAACTCACATTCGCTGTTTCTTGGCCTCCTCGTTGTGAGGGTGATAGAAATCATGGGATTTGCTGGCTCCACAATTCTGTCTTCTGTACTCCCCCACATTGAACACTGAGATAAAACAGTGCACGTGTGTGCATGTGGACAATAAAACTTTACCTTCCTTCAACAAAGCATGTTTCCTACATATTATGTACAGTCCCAGACCCACACGTCTGTACATACTACAGTACAATTTGAAAACTAACATTGCACCAACATTTCCGCAGACACAGCATCAGGCATAACAGGCTGCTACCCACACACATAACCGGTAACCGTTTGAAGAGTGTGTGTGTTGTGACACACAGGTACTCTAACTATTATACCTTTGGTGTCGAGGCCTATCCAGCGCAGGTAGCGAGCCAGTTTCTTGGCAATGTAGGTCTTGCCTCGAGCTGGCAGACCGACCATGGCAATACAGATGAGGTTGTTTGTCACCGGCGGACAATGAGGAGCTGTAGAGGGCATACAAGGGTGCATCATAGTCACACACGGAAGAGGGCTGGGGCTTTAGATTGAAGGATGGAGGACGCACAAGCAATAGCTCAGGAACAGTATAATATACACTGAAACGGTACACCGCGTATTATCACTAAGTGCGGTGGGGGCTGGCTGGAACACGCTCCCTGAACCTACTACCTTGGTTTGAGAACGGGGAGGAGGCACGCTTTTTCATGGACATCATGATGTACTCTTCGCTAGACGTGCTGTTCGTGGTCCTCTCCCTGCCTGCTGCCTGGGGCACGTTCAGCGTGTACAGACTCGGGGAAGACACGGACGTCTCCATGATCGACCACCCTCCCAGCAGAGGAGACAGCAGAGCTGGAGGCTAGGCGTGGGGGAAAAAGCGGATGTCGTCATGCCGACTCGACTCCACCATGTGCGCATGTGCAGATAGCCACAAAAGCTGTCCGACAGATCGTCCTACAGCTACACCCACGAAGGCTACCTTCAGGCCGAATGGCCCGGTCTACCAGCAAAAAATCAGTACGCTAAGCTCCGATCTGCCCGTGGGTTAGAACAAAGGGCGCTCTACACCATGGTTTCTTTGTACTCTAACCAAATCATTGGACTTACTGGGAATTGGGTCAATGTCAACTCTGCTGTGACCCTTCCTGGTCAGGTCATTCTCTGAGGCCACGTTCCTTGCCATCATTCTTGCCCCGACAATAATGAAAACAACGCAACACACAACTTGGCTAAGGACTAACTGGCAGGCAGAATTGGAGGGTGGCTCACTTTTTATTTACCCACCAACTGGGGGTGTGCCTGGGGAGTGGAAGAATGCAAGAGATATGCTTTCAGGGCTGCTGGTAACTCAATACGGATTTACACGTTCACATTATACACTACATTATGGAGGGTAGAGTGTTACATAGGCCTTCTCTCACAGGAAGTTGTGACATTAACACTCATAACCTTCTCTGAATAATGGCACCAAATTACTCAGTTACAGGAATGTGACACTGTACATCTTTAGGAGGCTTCTGGTGAATCAGGACACGTAAATAGAACCCACCACACACAAAGAGCACGCAGAAACCTACGCACAATGTTTCCACACAGCATCCACAGTCCACTATTATGAGGAACAGTTACGGTTTCGAAAGGTCCTCAATAGATGTGTACTCTTTCGAACTAGTGCAATGATCACAGTTGTCTTGCTTGAAGTTTTCTACTGTCATAGGAGGCAAAACCAACGAGGCATATATACAGTGTCAGCAGTTTTTGTAAGCCACATGAGCGGCCGAAATAGTTGCATTAAAGGAATGGCACAATTTTGCTTCAAACAGGCTGTACACAATTTGACAGTCGTTGCATTATTAAAAGTTTGTGTTAATGTGTTCATACATAATATTATAAATTTGGAAAATGTACGTGTATCCCCCTATCAATACAAAGGTGTGTATCACGGTCTCACAACTCCCCAGATGGTGGAGGATGTGAGAGTCATTGTATATAATATGGTATGGAGCACTAGAGAGGTGTACACTCTTGCAGGTGTGGGGTGGCGCTAAGAAACGCCGGAAAAAAAAGGAAAGATAGAGGGAAGGGAAAGAAGGATGAGCAACAGAGGGTGTGTGAGAAGAGAGAGTGAGAAAGAAAAAGACGTGCAGAAGGGAGAGAGGGGGGGAGAAGGAAAAGGAAAAAGAATACGAGTGAGAATAGTGAAGATAAGAGGGAGAGAGGGCAGAAAGAATGGGTGGAGAATAGGGTAGAGAGAGAGAGAGAGAGGATGAGAGGGGCGGTAAAGGAGAGGAGATATAAGAGAGAATGAAGAGTGGGAGAAAGAAGAGGGGGATCGAGAGCCCGGGAAAGAGATTACAGAAGAAAGAGGGAGGGAGGAAAATAAAGAAAAGGGTACAAAACAAACAAAAATATGAACACAAAAAATTTATACAAAAAATAGGATAACTCAATTGTTCAAAACAAATTTTCACGCAACATATAAGGCGAATAAAGGGTAAAATAATGAGCAGGGGAATACGACACAAAACAAAAAGGCGAAAGTGAGTAACGAGTGGGAATAAAATGCCTGATACAGAAACGAACCACAAAGGATAAAGGTCATGGTCACACACACACACACACACACACACTCACAGTTTCTTGATACAGAGGGAGTTGTAGTAGAGTTGACATAGAGAGCGGTGTATAGAGATGGTGCAGTGAAGGTTAACTATGGACATACACTGAGAATATGGGAGTGTCACTGAGTCTGTCTGGATACACTGAGGTTATAGGCATGGTGGATACGACTGACAAAATCTTCATCATTCTAGGGGAAAAGTGAGATGGAAGTACAGTACGTAACGTACATAGCTACATAGCAGCACGATTTGGTAGTCAGTACATAAGCAACTACAATAGGGCCCAGTACAAGAATGCAATTAGGTTTCCAACATATGTAATATTCTCTACTTATACCTAATATGGTGTACGTGTACTAGAGCTACTGTACACAGACAGCCTAATCTACAAAGTACCAAGTGACAGAAACTGTCAACACACGTGGCATAATTGTAGCTACCTGAATGAGAGAGAGAAGAGCCTGTTTCAACTGTTCTCTGGAGAGAGGAGGTCCCAGGGGTTCAGGAGGGGGAGGGGTGTGGGACAGGGGAGGAGTCTCCTCCGAGAGAGAGAACTGCTGAGGAGAGAGGAGAGTGTGTGGCTGTTTGGCTGGCTGAGACGGCACACTCACTGACATCTCTGGATTCATCTGAGAGAGGATACAGAAATAATATACGTATATAGAACGCTACGGCCTGTTGTACAAAAGTAGCAACTAGAGTTCCATGCCATTACAAACACCATGTCACTACTCTGGACAATTTAGGACAGTTGAAGGGACAAAGAAAGAGCTAAACAATTTAGTTGAGCTCATTAAGTGAGCCTTACATACAATGATGGGGAATGCAACATGTTGCATGCAATAGAAATTCTATTTGTTAATTGGCTATCATTATTCATTGTACTATATTTGAGGTCGCATTTACATGAACTTCATCTCACGCAATAGAACTGCATCATAGCACATGGCACAGGCTTTACTATTATGCAGTAGGTAGCAATCACTCAGACAGTGTCCTTAACTGCCAGTTGCTGACTCTGGATCGTCAATCACGCAAGAACTATTACGTACATAACTTGTGCCAAAAACTAGCACAACATCATGTGTGTTGTATCATACATACACATTTGATGACTTACATATCCAGGTACAGACCAGCTCCTGGAGGGCGGAGTTCCAACCACACCCATCGAGGCCCCACCCGACGATGTTACCTCTGGCTGCGGACTGGGGGATTCACCTGTCCCCGCCCCCACCGGGCTCCCTGATTTCCTGGGGCTCCTCCTACCTCTCCTGCCACTCCCGTCTCCTCCCTTTCCACGTTTCCCCCTACCAGTCTTGCTAGAGTGGTTCTCACTACCAGGCCCACTGGAGACCGGCGGAGCTCGCATTCCGGGAGAGTGCATGAGTGGAGGGACATCGGGGAAGACCCCGTTCGTTAACAACCCCCTGCGAGCTTGGAGAGACTGGGAGCTGCTTACAATTGGACTGGGAGGCTCGATGTTTAGCTGAACCAAGTCTGTAGTGAAAGAACGCTGTACCATTGGAGTCACTGGTGTAGTAGAAGTGGCAGTGTGAAAAGTAGCTGATTGGGTTGTATCTCTACCCGTAGCAGTATGGGTAATCAGGGGTGTGGTCTTTGCTCGGGAAGGGGGCGTGGCAGTCGAGAACGAGGATGGCTGTAGCAGAACGTGATGCCCCTCGCCAGACGTTGTGTCGACTGGTGGGGATGATGACGAGAGTGGAAGTGGGTCTGTGGTGACAATGTTAGAGTTTCTTGAGGGCTGTGAGGATGGGGATTGAAAATGGGGAGGTTGTGAGGATTGTGATGAGGTGAGTTGGGAAGATAACGGGAGATTGGCGAGATAGTGAGGGAGGGGGAACGTGGCAAAGGAACTAGGGGCCCTCTGCAGACTGGACACCGCCTCGTCCTTCATCTGTTTCTCAACCTCAGCCAGCGACATCATGGGCTGGGTGGGCGGGGCCTTGTCCGAGGTGGAACTGACGGCAAAGGAGGCAGGAAGAGACTGAGAGAAGAGGGTCTCTAGATGAGCGGCAGATGTCTTCGAAGACTCGGCAGTGGTAGTGGAAGAAGTAGAACTCCTCTCTCTGGTAGTTTGAGTTGTGGTAGAGGGAGCCTCAAATAGCTGTCTTGCAAGAGGCTGCTGTTGTTGTTCTGGGATTACCTCCTGCAGTAGGCTGGAGGAAGGGCCTCGGGTTGAGCCAGCAGTACCCATGGTGGGTGGAGGAACGTGGAGCTTCCTGTGGTGACCCATGTGGCCAGGGGCAGTGGAGGATCGGAGCGGGCTCTTGGTGGTAGTGGGTTCACCTCTCGGGGTCATCCGCTGCGCCGTGGGCTGAGTCACGGAAGACGACGACGATGATGTATGACGAGATGTGGGTGTCTGTTTTGAGACGGAATTCTTGGCTGCCCGACTGCTGTACTGGACCTCACTCTGAACGAGGTGAGAGTGAAGACGGGAAGAGGATGAGGAAGAGGAGGGAGGGTTAGTGACGGCAGCAGAGGGTGGCGTGGTGCTCATGTTGACCAGTTTAGGCATGGTCCGCGGAGTGCTTCTCTTGATGGATTTCTCACTCGCCCCCCTGTGATGGTGGACGGAGGACGAGGAGGGGGTTTTGTCAACGTTGGTGGGGTGTACCCCATCGTTGGAGTGTGACGAGGTAAAAGGGTGTGCATTGAAGGAGATGCCCTCACTGGGAGGAGGACTGTCCTGACTACTACTGCCTGTTTCGTCACTGAAGGCCTGTACATTTGGTCAGTGGGCAAAATAAACATGTACACTGAAATTTAAAGTGCAAACAATCGATGCAGTATATACATACAACCAATACACATGCGTGGTACCGCTAATTGTTGGGCCGGGCTATGAGTTGTCAATTTACTCTCTCTGTAACCTTCGCTGCGCTTGTGCACCGACATTTTAATGAAAGCTTGCAAAATGCACAAACACATCACAAACAGTGAAGGTTAATAAACATACTCTTCTATATATGTACACACCAAAAATGGTAATGGGCATAGGGAAATGTGTATGTACCATGTAATGAGCAATTCAAAAGAGTTATGTATGTAAGTTGAGAGACTCTTACACATACAAAAAACAATACTGGCCATAAGATTTTATGCACCATACCATGGATTATTTTAGGCAAAAATTAAAGGTTGAAAAGGATTATTTTAGTAGGTAACAACTTTAATGCGAAGGTAGAAAAAAAAACAATTGCATGTTATGCACCATTATCTTTTCCATAAATTATTTTAGACCGAAAATAAAATGTTTAAGGTTGAAAAAAAAAATGCCACCTACATCTCTCCAGACAGACGTCTATGGACGCAGTGCAATGCCAAACTATACGCTGTCCTTTGAGATGTAATGTGGCGGTGGCGTGGGTCAGTGGTAGATTCGTGGGTAAGGGGAGGAACCAGAGCTGTTCCCAGCCAATGCTCTGGACCACCTGACAGTTTCAGTGCGGGTCCGGGATTCGAACCGGGCACCTTATGTGTCAGTCCCCACGTCTCTAACCACTTAGCCACTTGGACTGGCCACGAGAGGTGATGATAAAACGTTCCTCTTATATCAACACTCACATTACATCATTATATATAAAAAAACAAACATCCCAAACCCGGGATCGAACCACGGACCTCATGATCTACTGTGTGAGTCTTTATCCTTCAGACCACACCCAATACTTGAGTGAGGACAGTTCAATACTGTATTAAGTATATTATGCCGGACTATCACAAAACTACTGAAGTACAAACCCTTGACGCACCGTACATGAGCATTACCACTAATAGATGGGCTGGGCTATGAATATGCGTTTACTCGTAGACTAGCTCGCGGAGTCTTATACAGGCTAGTTGGAGAGTTCATACACACCATCTGTTGTGACTTCTTGTGCCTCCAATACACAGGGGCAGACGGATCAGGTTGTGGTAAGCCAGTGCGATAATGCATTATTGGCTTTTTCACTTGCATATATATATCTCTTGAACGCAGTCATTAGGAAAATCAAAGTACAATACCTGATTGAGGTAGGAATTGCCTGCACTTTCCAACAGCTCCATGATGTCCACCCTCTCTCCAAGTAAGCTGGATCCGCCACCCTGCACCACATGTGTCATTAGACCACCATACACCACTTGCTATATAACAGTATTCTACCATTTATACACAAGCTTTCCATTAACATTGTATTATTTGAAGATGCACAACACAGGGGAACGTGCGTGTCAATAATGAGGTCAAGGTAAACCAAATACACTCAGGACAACCCTAAAGAAGAGTTGCCGATGTACAGATTCGAACCCAGGCACTCTGTAGTCTATAGACAACGTAAAGTTTCGCTTTTGTATAACAAACAAGGTACGTATTTTCACTCTTGAATGCATGCATTCCATACCCTAGTGGTATTGGTGATAGGCACGGGCCTAGTGCATGAAAACATGTTTATCCACGGTAAAATGGTGGAACATGTGATGTACAATGTACACAGTTATCACACTACAAAAACTCAAGAGCTCATACAGTGCATACTATGTACAAAAAGTGAAAAATGTAGGACGCATTGTATGTATTATACATAATGGAGTGAAGCACAAAGTGTAATACTAAAATTCGCCCATTGTGTTGAGTGTCTATATGTGTGTACATGTACATACACATGACATGACATGATAGTAGGACACTGGGTGCCCAGCCTTGAGAACCGGGACGGTGGGTTAAAGAGTCTTTTATGCGCAAGTCTTACTGCGTAAGTCATTTTATTCCAGATTCTATTTTTCTACCACGTTTTTACTGCTACAAGTGAGTCATTCTACCTTGTTTTTTACGTCCAGTAAGTAAGCTAGATTCTATTTTTCTATTTTTCTACAATGCTACCAATTTCTTTTTTCTACCATCTGTGTTTGTGTATATATTTATATATTTATATTTATATGTATCGTACTCTACATGTGTTGTCGTGACTGTGCTATCGTACAGTTACTCACTGTGTGGCTGTCATTGTTTGTGATGTGGAGTTTGGATACTGGGTGTGTGGGGAGAGTTGGCTAGCCATAAAAGACACCCACCGTCCCGGTTCTCAAGGCTGGGCACCCAGTGTCCTACTATCATGTCATGTCATGTGTATTTGTGTATGTGTTTTGTGTGGATATTTTGGGGTTTGTAAATATGGTGGTGGTGGTTTTTATTTATTTCTCTACCTATCTATCTATCTATCTATATACCTATGGCTGGTATGCTATGAACTATAATTTCATACATTGTACCTGAGATTGAGGGAAGGAGGGGACACTCTGGCTTCGCATACCGACACTGAGTGGAGCACTCCTGTGGCCAGCTCCATTACTGGTACCAGCCTGGTTGCTGAGACTGGAAAGGAGGAGGAGGAGAGAGAGAAGCAGTGGGCAAAAACGGGTAGTACAGTGGAGATACAGAGTATTTTAGATCTCAACTAAAGTTTGTTTAACTCTGAGCAAGTGCACACACAGTGACTCGTAATGACACATCGATGCAGTTTGTCAATGACTGCCTCATAAGCCAATGCCGCTCTGTTGCTGAACATCCCTCTACATACACTCGCACACATTCCTTCCTAGCGATGCATAAACAAAATAGCACGAGCTAAGGCTATCATCATGGGTTGATCTACACACCTCACTGGATGTGAAGTATATACACACTTTACTGGATGTGAAGTGAACATTGACAGTGTGTATGGAGAGGGGGCATATAGAGATGCTACATAGGAGGTGGACTAGTGTAGTCTCACCTGGTGAGGAGATAGCCATTAGTGGAGGAGAGGAGGGGGGTAGAGAAACACAGACCATACACCTTATCTGCATCTGCGCAAACACAAACTTAAACCTCACACACCATGCGGCACCTACACTGCACGCAGAGTTTCTATAAATCTATGTACATCTTTATGTATGAATAAAAGCTGTACAGTAGTTGCAAAACTTATAGTAGTACGCAAACTGAACATGGGATTTTACCCGAGTGCTTCTTGAAGAGGACAAACTGGCCCTGAACTCTGTACTCTGACCCCGGGTGGACCATCTCCTGCAAGTTGTCACTGCTGAGTCTGTTGAGCAGCACGAACCCATGACTTAGAGCAGAGGTCCTGGAGACACATACACATAAACCGACGCACAGAGGACACATGTAGGGTAAAAACCATCTCAGTTGTATATAGATACAGTATAGGATGGGAATTAATAAAGAAGGGTTAGATTAAGGGTCTCTATTTAGCCAACTGCATCTTTAAGCCTTGGGAATTCGTGAAAAGTACTCGTGTTTCATGTCACAAGACCACTAAAGGAGATCATGTGTACAGACAGAACACCATACTGTGCATACGGCATAACTAGAGTAGTCAGAGTGACCACTGAGGCGTAGTACGACATACATACCTGCTGTAAATGAACAGCGTCCCCTCAATCGATGTCCGCTCCTGCAAAAAACAACTCCAATATGTACATGTAGTGCCAATTCCATACTTACATACTATGAAGGATGGAGGTAATACTATTGTGTATATGGCACACTATGAAGTACAGGTTCACCCCACCAATATTGCAGATTGAAACACAGACAGCTACCCTCATTTCATGGGTTAGCCCCTGTATGTGTATGTATGTACTATATGTAGCTCACCCATGTGTTGGAGTTGCTCTCATACTGATAGAGCACCACCTGAGGCACGGTGGACAGTATGTCACACAGACCAGGGTCAACCCTCTCCACTGCCATAATGTTCATCTTCTTTGCTCCATCCCCTGGAGCCCTTGACTCGGCAGAGCTCTCAACTTTCTGTCTCTCTCTCACACCTCTCTTTATTACAGAAGTTGAAGATGGGGGTCCCCCACAATTAGGCCTGCTATTGTCGGGAGTGGTGTTCTCCTTGTGTTCCACAAGTACAGACATACTGCTCTGCACCACTTCCAGAAGAGGTGATACGATAGATACAGCAACTAATGGCTGGATAGCAGTTTTGCTCAAGGACAGCTGGCAGCAAATGGCACACAAAAGTCACTGTACGTGTAAGCTGGGCTTGTATGTGGTTGAAGTTCTTAGAGCCCAAAGCTATATAAACCTACTAACTAAACACTACTCGTAAGAAAAACCGGAGGGTTGACGGGACAACGGAACGACTGCTGTCCTCCACCACACGACACTCACTGCGGACGTTATCTGAACGGTCTACCGCGTCTGCTGGTAGTTTCTGGAGTAGAGGTTGAGATTCTGTCCATGTCTAAGAGCAGACCACCCGTCCATTCACGAGCTTCTGCCGCCTGTTGTCGGCCATTTTTCAAACATGAATCAGCAAAAAAAGTCTGCTGTGTGGTTTTTGGCGGCGCAGCGAGGTGCAGAGTGCAAAGTGCACGCACACACACAAGTTTCACTGCTCCATGCAGCTTGACAAAGTAGTTGGACATGTCTCGTCACAGAAGCAGACACCACGACACCCAAGAGAGGCACAGAGAACGCTCCAGAAGCCCACAACCAAGGTAAGCCCAATGCTGCGCTTTTATTAGAATGCAGCCACAATACTTACACCCAGAGCCGCGTCACTGGAGATACACAGCTCTGAAAAGGTATGCTTAGTCATTCTGGTGTGTAAAGTGGTGTATGGCTGCTTTGTATGAAGGATAAATGGAGAGAGAGACATAAGAGGAGGGAGAGCGGGGGTGAGGAGGGAAGGACACGAAGAAGAGAGAAGAGGGATGAGGGGATAGAGAAAGGGGAAGAGAAAAGGAGGGGGAGGGGACACCATGGCAGTGAAGAGAGGAGAGATGGGCATAAAGAAGAGGGTAGGGAGGGTGATGGGTTGAAGAGAGAGGGTGGGAGAAGGGGAGAAGAGGAGGTAAGGAGAAAAGAAGAGGTTGAAAGAAGAAGGGAAGGGGAAGAGGGAAGCAGAAGATGGGGAGGGGAGGGAAGAAGAGGGGAGGGAGAGGGGACTGCAAGGAGGGGGAGATGGCAAGAAGGTGGAAGAGAGGAGGAGAGGGGTAGAAGAAACAGGGATGAAAATAGAGGGAGGGAGAGGAGAGGACAAGAGGAAGTAGAAAATTGGACTCGTGCATCAGGCATTGACAGAGCTGGAGAAAGGGACACGCTTGGCTCGAGAAGGGATGAAGAACGAAGACAAAGTATGTTTCCTCCATATGTAATTACGCACATGTGAATGAATGACCAAGTAGAGCATTTATTCTACTGTCCTGCCTCACAAATGTTATGATTTTAGAACGGGAACAGAGGACGAAGGAAGATGAGGAGGCTACAAGTTACGAGTGAGTAAACACACTGCTACCTGTTTGCCTGAGATGATTACTGTGTGACAATCAGATTTGGAGGTGAGGGGGGAAGAGAAGGGTCTGACAGAAACAATGAAGAACCTGGAGAAATGGAAGAGCCCAGCTTTGCACTCTCGGGGAAGCTGACTGCTGAGACCAACACATACAGGGTAAGGCTTCATTTGCACGCCTAAACATTTGGACCACTGGTGAATTCACCTAGTTTTATAGTCACTTCAAGCTATGTACTACAGTGGAACCTCCGATAGGGGACCCTTTGACAACCTCTCTCTACAAGGGACACTTTTTACAACCCCATGCTAATACTTTAGTTTATTATTTGACCTCCTACGTAGGGATGACCTCTCTAAATGGTTGACCCCATAGTGTCCCTTGTTCGGAGGTTCCACTGTGTATAAGCGTAGCTGGGTCACTAGTACACTTTATACACTTCCAGCTACATGTACTGCATTGGAACCTCTGATAAGGGACGAATACTTTAGTGTATTATTTGACCTCCAAGATAGGGACGACCGGACAAAATTGTCGTCCCCAGTGTCCCTTGTTCGGAGGTTCCACTGTAAAGCTTATCTGGCCCAGTATGAGACATTAGTTTCAATCTCCTGTTGTGATAATTGAAGGGGGTGGTGATAAAGTACAGCGAGCCAGGAGAGGCCAGACAGCCCACCACAAGATGGAGACTCTACCAGTTCAAGGGAGATGAAGTTCTACGTGAGTTGATGACATTATGGTAGTATATACCTCAAGAGGCCCTAGGACGACCTCTCTACAATGGACACTTGTAATGTGGATGTAGATGTATTTATCCTGTGGTCAAGATTAGCTGTAGAGTATTCCGGCTGTTTCACATGTCATTTCTCCTTACACCTACGTATGATGTATGCAGTCGTTTAGTCCCTAAATCTTCTGTAGGTACACATACATTATATCCAGAGTCTATATTGTGTGTGTCTCTTCATATTATTATGTCCACTCAGCTACTCTGTATGTCCACCGACAGAGTGCCTACCTCATTGGCAGGGACAGGAGGGTACGTACATGTCAGTTATAGAAACCTCTGAAAAGTATGGACCCTCTGAATAAAGGACACCTCTCTTTACGGGACACTTGGTTCTGCCCCCGTACTGATAAATACCCCTCCGAATACGGGACGCCTCTGAATAAATGATATTTGGTCACCAAGGTGTCCCTTATTCAGAGGTTTCACTGTACACTATGTACTTCAGTGGGGTGTTGTGTAATGTTATTTATGTGTGCAGGTGGTGGATCTACCAGTAGACCATCCGTCATGCTCTGGCCAGCATGCAGTCCTCCAGTACAGACTAGTCACCTATGAAAAGAACGATGGCTCTGTTGGCAAAAGGGTCAGGTAGGAAATTATGTGTTTATCCCGCTGAAAAGAAGTCACAACCACCACCAAACCTACCAAAAGTTCTGTCCAACACGATACATACATGCCTGTACATGCACATGCTCAGTTGGTAGAGCACTCGCATAGACTGCAGAGTGTCGAGCTGTCCTGGGTGTAGTTGATTTGTTTGTTGTGCCTTTGCCTTTCTACCTCGTAGTTTTCACATGCACATAGTACACAAAGACCCAGTCACTAGCAGCCCAACCTTGAGAACTGGGGTTGTAATTGTTGTAACTCTATTTTACTCCCTCCCTAACCCCCCCTCCCTCAGACCTTATCTTATTGACCTGGAGTCCACCAATGGGACTTACATCAATAACCAGAGAATAGAGTCTGCTAGATACTGGGAACTAAAGGAACAGGTCAGCAATCCTGCCAGCCAGTATATACTTTGGCCTCTTCATAATTATTCATACCACCTTAGTGCACTTTCACATCCTTTTGGGAATTGTCATTTCCATGTAGGGCAATATGCATAGAGTGTGGTAAAGATCATTTTGTAGCCACTGCCGTTATAGACACTCGCGATTGTAAATGACTTTCCTTACCCTGTCATCACAACGTGTGTACTGTATATTATATATATACAGTAACCCTGTCTCTCTGACTGTCTGTCGTTTGCTTGACTGTTCCAGTGGATTTGAGAATGTTAACCACCCCGACCCCCCACCCCCCACTATTACACAGGACATGATCAAGTTTGGCTTCAGCTCCAGAGAATACATTATCTTGCACGAGAACTCCAAAGACGCTGCTACAGCTGTTGATGCTACTGACGACCAACCATAGACAGCAACCAACTCTATCAGTCTCCTGCAATTATTGTCGTTTTATGTGTCCCTTTTGTAAGCATTTCCTTCTTCAAAATTAAGAAGATTTGATTTAAGGGTCGGTGGCTATAAGGGCTAAAATTAGAAACTGTTGCTAAAACCAGAAACTTGGGCCCTACTGTTTAGTTGTGTCTTTAGTAACATTTAAAGTTAGCCCTTATGCCGGAGGCTACTGAAGGGCTTGTGAAGTCTTAAACAAAGTTGACCTAACTTATGTGGTCTTTTGTCACGCAGTGCTAATGGGTTCACACAATGTTTAGAGTCAACCATGTTGTTTCTAGTCCAAACATTCACTCACTGTTGAATGTTGTATTTTAGTCGCTTGTCATTGATAGCCTTGAACTTTTTGACTGCTTGGATATTATTCAGGTGCCTTAGTAAGTTGCTAAGCATTCCTTATAGAGTTTGTAAGTTGCGTATAAGTCATCTCACGGCAAGGAAATGAAGCTTAGAACTTCTATCCCAGTATAATTCAGAAGGTCCCGCCGGGTCTGCCGATAAGAGATCAACATCCTGTTTATACCTTAGTCTCTCTTTAACGGCCAGGTGTTTGGTCTTGGAGCTCTGTTACAACAGCCAACCACTGAATAGCGCTCCCAAGTGTTATAACACACGCTCTTCAATAGAACGTTTTACGTCACTTCAAGTATATGTACAAAAAGGGTGGAATGACAATGTGAATGTTCTAATATTGCTTCAACACGGACCTAGTGTCTATGCCTTAAAAGATGTGGGAAGACACAGTATCAAATACGTAGATGAAACAGTGTTGGCCTTTGCCACTGCAAATTCTGAACGGCCCTTTGTACTTCTTCCCTTTTCCATCAGAGTGACCGCCAAACGAGGTTACAAATTCTCCAGTCACGGCTCTGAACACAGCCACCCTGCTGTGCTGGTCATCTGACACGTACACAAATTCCCCAACCACAGTGACACCGGTGGGTCGACTCAGCTTCCCACTGTGCCCAATCACCTTGAGGAACCCCCCTCGTTTGACGTCAATCACCTGGACCCGGTCGTTGTTCTTGTCTGCAATGTAGGCTCTGCCGGCCGAGTCAAACTCAATGTCCCACGGGTGGCTGAACTCTATGTTGGCAGATCCCTCACATCCTATTATCTTGACGAAGTTGAGGTCCGTATCGAGGACTTGTATGCGATTGTTGAGTGTGTCACAGACGTAGATGTGACCCTTGTGGTAAGCAAGACCTTCTGCGGAAATAAACTCTCCTTCCTTGTGACCACTCTTTCCGACTGTTTTGATGTGTGCGCCGTCGCTGGTAAACTTTTCGATGCGGTCCACACACGACACGTATACATTGTCTTCACTGTCAACAGTGATGCCTGTCGGGCCCCTACAATCGAAGCTGGATATCACCTCCCCCTCTTTGTCCATGGTCACCACCTCGTTTCTAGTGAAGTCACTGGCTATGATCTGTCCTCTACTGTTGACTGCAGTACCCCATACATTGGCCCGGTTTGGAATCTCACCAATTGGCTTTTTCAGCTGATGTGGGTCGGGATACACAGTTATATCACACGGGCTCCCTCCGACTTCAACTCCGCGATGGCTATGTGCAGCTTGTGGTGTCCTCGGGAGACTGCAGTGAAAGATATACAGTAGGTAGCAGTTGTCTTCTGCTCCACGACCACTCGGGGCTTGTGTCTCCTCCAGAACAGGGAGTGGTGTTTCTCCTCGTTGCCCAGCTGTGAGAAGAGCTCGGCAGAGACTGTCTGTGAGTGGGTGCACGGCTGGCCTGTCACCATGTCCCTCAGTTCCACCAGAACATGGGTGGCACAGTTGGCAGTGGCTGTTTCCAGACCAGGACCACTGACTCTGCAGCTGTATTGAGGCTGAGGGTCGGGAGTTGGGGTCTCTGGAAGCTTCTTCCAGTCCCGTTTGTTGTTCACTCGTGACCAACTCTCTCTCCGTCGTTTCGTCTTCTTCACAAAAGGTTAGACCCTGTTCATTATCATCTGTCTCTAATAGGGGCTTTCTGATGGATTTTCGTTTTCCCATTTCTCTCGTCTGGACTGAGAGCTGTAGGCAAGAAGCTGTGTATTTATGAGCTCCCCACAGGATACCACAGTGACATCACAGTCTGGCTATTTCCTGGATGTTATAAGGTTACAGGAAATGACATCACAATTTTGTGTTGGGCATATTCACAGCACCCTTTCAGTTATATGGATGATGTAATAGTGTTAATGGGAAAGCCCCTCAACCAAGAGGTGATGCACTTCCTAAAAGCAAAATGTGTAGATTAACCCTTTGCCCTTTGGACTCAATAGGGATCTGCTGAAATAAGCAGAAACTGATGTATAAAGTATCAGCGCCTAGTCTTATAACCCCCATATAAATTATTGTGTACTTATGGAGGCTCTGGACACATTTATGTGTCGGTGGCTGGTCAAGTGTTAAAATGTGGAAGTCATAAGATTTGGTTCATGTTGTTCAAACATTCATTTTGCAAACACTGTCCGAAACCTTTCTGAATACCTACTTGCAGCATGTGATCACATTATTAGTCTTTTCCCACAAACACAATAGGAGAGTTTATCATGACTTCGCTAGCAATCCTCGGAGCTCTGCCCGCTGTAATGGATCAGTCGGTTTATATAAGCTTGCATACACTGCCAGTATATACCGTGGTTGGTACACGTAGCAGCAAAAGTGCCACCGGTGCATCATAATTACAACTTTGTAACTGAATAGCTATACTAGACATGAATACAACATGTCAAAGCTAGAAATATTTAAAATTACAAAACAGCATCAGCATTTTCCACAATTTTTCACTTAAGGGATCTTAGCAGACACAGGATCAGTACGCAACTGGGTGTAGAGAAGAGGCATGTAGCCATAGACACGGGTAAAGTACTGAATGCAGGCATGGCGCTGCTCCGTTCTGCCTGGTCTTGTAGAGAGGTTCTCTCCACATCGGGGACCACACCAGAAATCAAAATTGGTAGGAACCTGGGAATCAAAGCTCTAACGATTAGAATTTGTCCATTTTTAACCCTCGGCGGCGGCGCGCATGCGCAGCGAGGGTTACAGTACTTGGTCTGTCTGTCCGTCTGTCCGTCTGTTGATTTCTGCCACCACGCACAACAAACAGGTAAAATAGCGACACCAGCGGGTTCAGAGCTACACTGGCTTTATTTTAAAGTCTGTATATTATTTTTCTGAGAAACTTTTTCAGGGGTTCCTCCTGGACTGAAACAGGGGGCACAAAAATAATCCACACGAGACTTATTAAACTGCTAAGTTCAGGGATAACATATTATTATAATGGAGGTAAATTGCTGCCCTTGGCCCCCTGCCCTCTAGAAAAACCTTAAACCTTAGAATCCGATGAGAATATGTACATACAGTGGTATAATCCGAAAACAGACTTTTATGGGTGGTGTTCTGGAGGCATGTGCAATGAGAAAGTTCATGGCAAGGTCATCACAGTTGGTGACCCGGTCCACCCTCTCCCTCACTTCCTTTGGCATCCAGTAGAAGTAGAGGAACAAGTAGATCTACGAGGAAAACAAAACTACGTAGTGAGCATCGTATTAATGACAGAAACATGGTAGGGGGAGGATGCGAGGCAAGCGAAGGGGTATCTCTGAAAACTATATACCAAGCACTAAGTGGAGCTCATTAAGACGCCTGACGAACGTCTTGCGTCAATGTCACTGACACTCGCATCCACCCCTACCCCCACTCCCCTCAGTCGGACCACCCGCGTCTGGTCCACGCCAAGCGTGACTCAGTGTTATTAATTCTCACTGCCCAATCACCTATGTTGGGCCATTTTATAGTGCTGCATTTGTCGCCTCGTTGTTGGACATCTGGGTGGATGGGAGCATCTAGCTCATCCTATGTTTGTGTGTGTGGTGTATTTCATGCATTGTAAATGCTTTTCTTGTTAACCCTCAGTGCGCATGCGCAATAGGGTTATAGTACTTGGTTCGTAAGTGTGTCTGTCCTTCTGTCCGTCACGTTTTCTGCGACTACGCGCAACGAGATAACAAAATAGCGATACCAACGGGTTCTTCGCTACACTGGCTTCATTTTAAAAAAGGCGATTTTCGTATAACTGCTGCGTTCAAAAGTTATGGCGTGAACAAGCCAATATGCAAAGCGCAGGCTACCTCGACCGCGTCCGCTCGCTCTGTGTATCTTGCAGGCACAAGAAGTCACAACGAAGGGCATGTAACGACTCCCGCATGCTATCTACTACTATACCTAGCCCGTCGTCAGACTCTCCGCGAGCAACTAGCGGGATACCACGAGTAAAGACATGCAAAGCCCAGCCATGCAAAGCCCGTTACCGGCTGCCTCCCTTGGGGGCTTGCCTGAGGCAGCCGCCAAAAGAGGGGCTCACTCTCTCGCGCCTCCCCCAAAAGACTAGACGCACGCAGGGCGGGGGTGTCCCGACAAAGCTCGTACGTACGCGCCCCGCGCGCGCGAGTCGAGGGTAGAGAGGGGGCCGGGCGCCCGCGCCGTACTCGGCTGGGTCACGTGCGGGCACGTGGCATCACGGTGAGCCCATGCCCCGGTCACATGGCAGCACGTGTCCAACCGCAGAGGTCACGTGACATCGGTTGGGGCCGCCGACTCACCCCACCACGCACACACACCGACCTGGGGCCGGATGATATCCGTACGCTAGCTATGGGGAAGCAGTTGAAGTTACTGGTAATTTGGGTCCCTGCGTCGATTCTGTTTGTTGCGCTTTTGGTGTACATGCAATCACAAGGTATTTTCTACATGTCAACAAGGAGAAGCACAAACGAGTGCCCGAACTTATCGACTGGAATTGACAGTCAGGACCAGAGCCAGGAGGATGAACACAACATTCAGGAAGGGAAGGATGATCTCCCTTCTAACACTACATGGAAACCCTGTACATTTGACGTCTGCTTCAACCTAGAGAAATGTCCACTCACTCACCCATTCGCCGCCTATGTCTACGATGATCTGCTTGCATCTTCTTCGAACGAAAATGCATTTTCTCCTCAACTTTTAGTAGATGTTTTGAAGGAGACAGGTTCATACACCTCTGACCCTGCTAAAGCATGTGTGTTTTTCGGTATTCTTTGGAACACAGAGAGTGCAAGAGAAAACGTTGGCCGCCTGGAGACACAAATTCACTCCCTGGCACAGTGGGGGGAATATGGCGAAAACCACGTTCTGGTTGAGCTGTCCACTGACCAGAGCCCTGCCAGCAGCATGCTGGAAGGTGTTTCAACAGGAAAGGCTATCATTGCACGGAGTGTAGTCTCACCAGCCAAGCCGTTCCGCACAGGCTTTGACATCCTTCTCCCTCCACTCAGGACGGCAGACGCAGACTCAATGCATTTGCTATCTCCTCTCCTTCCTGTCTCCCGAGAGACTTTTATTCACTTCCAAGGAGAATACTCTCCACCTCAACACCCAGGCCCTGTTACTATCACTCCAAATCACATCAGAAGTCTCCAGCAGCTCTTACAAGGTAAAGAGGGAGTGGACATTCAGCTCCAGTGCCAACAGCTGGCGACCGGGAAGACAAAGGGGGCAAAGGAGGGGCAGTGGATGTTGTGTGGAGACCAGAAATCTCGACTTAAGCTTTGTTCCAAGTCTATGTTCTCCCTCGTCCCAAGTCCAGGTGGACCTAACGCTGGAACAGGAGTCGGAATCTATACTAGACTGATAGAGTCTCTGATGTGTGGCTCTATACCAGTTGTCATTGGAGTAGGGGTTCTCCCATTCGACGAAGTAATAGACTGGAGTCGGGCAGCACTGATTGTTCCTTCTGGCAGGTACTCTGATATCCCCTACATCCTGCGAAGTGTTAGTTCAGGTGACATTCAGAACTTTAGACTCAAGGGCCGACATTTGTGGCACACCTACTTCAGCTCTTCACTGAGGGTTGTCCAGATTGCTGTAGCCATAGTGAGGTCACGGACTCTCCACCCACCTCCCCCTGCTCATGACTTTGTTGGGAAACAGCTCGTTTACCTCCCGGCTCCCAATCACAAGCAGATTACCTCCCCTTTCTTCACCAATAATTTCACTGCCTACTCGTCGAGTTTCTGGAATGATATCCCAGGTCCCCTGTTTTCCTACCCTTCATCCCCCTTCAATCCTGGGTTGCATTTCAGCAGATTGAACGAGTTCGCATTTGCTCACAATGCGTCGCAGTCAGTGGACGGAAGAGCTGCCATAGAGTCAACTTTCAAGGAAAATCTTCTTGTGAATGTACCTGCCGAGCAGTTTACTGTGGTGATATTGACGTACAAAAGGAACGAAGTACTGATGGAGGGGCTGGCAAAACTGAAAGGGATTCCTTCCCTGAACAAAGTGGTAGTCGTCTGGAATGATGAGAATGACCCGTCTGCTGACCTCAAGTGGCCCGATATTGGAGTACCTATTGTGGTGAGTTAAAGTGTGTGTGGTGGTGTAAGTAGCCATGGGTATGTAACTCGGCTTGTAAACGAGCTATTTGTATCTGTTAATGTGATCGCGGTTACGCCCCCGTGCGGTATCATAAAGAACTTCAGGTATTAATGTGATTGCCTCTGAGAAAACGACCCTTATGGTGCACGTAGTATTGTTGTAGTAGTGGCGGTTTTGCGGCGAACTACATATTTTACGGATCCCCGTATTCTAGTACCTCTGTCTATCGTGCGCAAGTTTGACACACGAACTCCGTTCCGTTCCGTAGTTATGGCCCTGGATATCTGGCAACTACCGCCACTCGCGCCGCCGTTACGCGGAATTACAAGGAAACGTGACACGGGAATAATCAAACCTTTTACGGAGTCACGTAAACGGGAATTCCCCTTTACTTATCAAATGCGGCCGGATGCACGCGTGCGCGTAATGCTGTGACACTGACTTGTTACGAGAATACGGAGGTTGAAATTTGACACCGGAAGTTCAACTTTAGACACAATTTTTCACGTTAGATGCAGCGGAATGGAACTTGCGTTTGTGCTCATAACTTCGCAACGGAACGGGCTATGCCTCTTAAACAGAAAACTATTGAGCATTTATAGGACTTTCGGTCTAGCGCACAAAAATTATTTCGCGAATTTGCGCCATAAGTGTCGTTTTCTCAGAGCCTGTCACATTTGTCAAAATATCTTTCAACTCGGTACATGCTTACCTTACCAGAGCCAGTGCTCTTAGAGCCAAGCTGTATATTATACCAGGCAAGTCCTTCTTGTGTTTTCGAAGCAAAAAAGTATGGAACAGGTGTGGCATGTGTCAACAACAAGGTGAGATAGGAATTTTGCACCCTCTGTTACTCTTCACAGAATCCTTGTGCCTCGCAAATTCATGAGCGTCCCACCTTAGGGGGTGGTGTTAGGTTGCAGCCACTTCTATGGCACAAATAGCGTGCATTCTGAGTCGGTTGTTAGGGTTGAAAGAGAGAGCAGTGTAAGAGGCAGGATGGTTATGGTACAAGTGGAAAAATCATTTCTTCAAAATGAAGGGGGATATAGGGATGGCTTGAAGCACCAAAAAGGAAGAAACAAGGGGTCATTACAAAGATGCACAAAGCTACATGAAACCATCCCTATATCTTTGTTCGATATTAAACTTTGCTTATAAGCAATACAACAAAGATATAGGGATGGTGTCATGTAGCTTTGTGCATCTTTGCTGTGTAATGACCCCTTATTTCTTCCTTTTTGGTGCTTCAAGAAATGATTTTTCCACTTGTTTCCACTATTTTTAACAGCATAATTATGACAACACTGCATTTTTATTGTTACAATCACTCTGATGTTCATGGGTATGTTGTAGATATAGGCTACCATAGGCAAACTCCAACTGTTGAAAGCAGTATAGATAATGGGCTGATAGTGGCTGAAGCCGCATTAACCTCATGTATTGTCTTCAACAAGGATGTCATTAAGTTATTGCACGTGATTGCGGTTTCATGGGCAGGCTTTGTTAATCAGGCTACAACCTTGGTGGGACAAACAATGAAAGCCCATTTGAGCGCTCCGCAACGGCTCGCGTAACACCTCACAGGCTCTGCCAAGTTGCTCCTCTTGCAAATCAACAGCAAGTTAGCCAGTAGGAAATGTGCACACTTACTTACAGAAGGCACTGGAGGCTGAGAGTTCCTCTGCAGGTCGGTCAACTTGCCTGGTAATACGCGCTCACAGCGCATTGGACAACGCCCCTGCCTGGCGCATGCGCACGGCTCACTGATGCTGAGTTAGCAGCAAATGGCGTTGTTCAGTGTCGACCATGGAAGAGCTCCATGATCTACCGTAGTCACTAGCGGCAAGAATGAAACGATCGCTTGATGTCCGTGCACACCTCCGGCGAAATTGGAGACGTTCAGTGAAAAAATCAGCACTTCAACTTGTTCCAGTAAGGAGAACGCGGGTCTAAAGAAGAACAAGATGAAGAATATGATGACACGAAAATCGTGAAATCGCGTATGAGCGAATTCTCGCGTGGACGACTGAAGGTGCATATGAGGTCTTTGGGAGCATGTATATAGGTCCCGTAGACTATTGCTAGTGTGTACTGCACCGAGTTTTTAGTCGTTTTGTACGCGAATCACGTGAGATTTCACCCGTGCCAGCCCTATATAGAGAGTCTACCGACTCTCTAATAAGGGAGTTCACTTGCTAGCAATAGCATAGGGTTTCAGACAGTTGTTTGAACTCAGCTGAAAAGTTCTATTAGTGAGTAAAGGTGTTCGGAATTTGATATTTAACCCACACCCTCCTCTTCACAGGTTGTTCGTGGTAGAGGTAACAGTTTGAACAATAAGTTTCTGCCTTACAAAGAGATAGAGACCGAAGCTGTGTTGCAACTCGACGATGATGTCCTTATGGCTCCTGAGGAGATCGAATTTGGTTTCAGGCAAGTTTATGTGCTTGTTGTAGTTTCAGATAAAATCCTACATACTTTTCGACCTATGCTAATTAGTATTGGTTTACCCCGCCCGGATTCTGCTCTTTGTGCACTGCGGAATGCGACCAACTGAAGACGAGTGAAGAGTGCAGCGAAATCTAAACGCTAGTTTAGCTAGCGAAAGAAATCTAAACACTAAGTATAGAATGGGTACCAACTCTTTGCAAAGGTCTGGGTTAGCACTTGCCTCGAAGGTGTTTTACAGAGCCTTTTTTCCTTCAGCCCTTCAGAGCACGCGCGCACACGCACGCATTAGCTAACAGCCCTTGTTCCCAGGTCTAGCTAACTCTGTTCATCAGTATCTCCGACTTAGGATTTTTCTGATACTTGAGCCATTCATTCGTGGTGGTGATATTCTCAGTCCTGGAACCAAATTGTTGTATGATTTGTATGATTTCCGTGAGATGTTGTGTACTTGCGCGATTTGATGAGATATGTAGTTTCTGTCTTTCTTCGATTTTATGTTTCTAGGCTTTAGGACATGTTGGCACTGTTTATATTTCAGGCCTGCTTTATAAAGCCAGTCTGGGTCTGTTCATTGGCCTAATGTCACACACTGTGATTGTGACAAATAATAGTTATTGCTAGACTAGCACTTACACATATGTGTGGTACCACGCCGCCGAGGGTTTTGCACTTTAGTGCTTTTCATCTTTAAAGGCACTTAGTAGTATTCATCCACAACCTAGTCAAACCTCGCATTCTCAAGGACATGACGCTGCGTTAATTAAGTCATTGCCGAGGAAGGAGAACCACACTTTGCACTAGCCTCGCTCCCAGTCCGTATTTTTGTGGGGGACCCTGGTACAATCTGTAACTACTCATCCACAGAAAGTTGGGGATACTGGATATCTTTGAATATTGTCCGTTTTTATCCGTAATCTTTAGCCGCCTACTAGTGCGTATAACATGATGCAGTGTTTCTGGGCCTCTAGAATGTTTTAGTTTGATGTGAGGATGGGTGGTTACAGATTGTACCAGGCTCCCCCGCAAAAATCGGACTGGGAACGAGGCTAGTGTAAACTGTGGCTCTCCTTCATTCCTCGGCAATACTCATATTGAGTTAATTAACGCAGCGTCACGTCACGTCCTTGAGAATGCGAGGTTTGACTAGGTTGCGGCTGCGATACTACTAAGACGGTGCCTTTGAAGATACGCAAAACTAGGCTACGAAGTAGCGATGTCCCTGGCGCTGTTCAGCTATGAGCTATAATCCATTTCTAATCCACCTCCTGGAGTAGGATTAGTTAATCCGAATCTTGATCCTGACCGTACCATTTGCACACGTAATCTGTTGGGATCAAGTGTAGAGAGCGGACCCAGCACGCGACGACTTCCAGAAGCCGCACAAGTACCACACCCACACACACAAGTCACGCGCCATAGGCCACACCCCTAAAATACTCAAAATGAAAGCAGTTTTCATGCTTCTTGCACCTTCAAAGCGCAAAGCGGTGTGCGCATGCGCGTGTTATCGAGGTATTTTATCTGCTTGTCTTCTGTGTGGCTTCATTTGAGCCGCCCCTGGACTAGTCAGTACATTAAAAAACACCGCTTCACAATATTCACTCTAGCCGGGCGCAAATTCTGACGTTGATAATGGCCTGCTCTTTATGCCGGATAGGCTGGATTCAAGGTCAATGATAATTATGGTGACATTGATCGGCTCTGGCAAGCCGTTGGACAACATACATCTGTCTGGGTGTGACAGTCTGCGACTAGGTCATCTAGTCTCGCGGAGCCAGCGCTGTGCGACAACTGGTAGGTATAGTTTACAGCAACAGAAGAGCGAGCCTGTTTGAGTTGAACAGTGAATAGCTCCTGCTGTTTGCCAAGGGGCTCTCTGTAAGTTTTCAAAACTTACACATGTGCACACAGCTTTACGCTTTGAAGGTGCGAGAAGCGTGTAAACCATTGTAAAGTGCAAGCCCTCTGCGAACTGTGCTTGTGCGGTACCGCTAATTGATGGGCTGGGCTGGCTGGCGCCTTTCATTGTGTCTTACATATTGTGCCTTCAAGATACACAGAGCAAGCGTACCCGGTTGAGATAAGCCGTGCTAATTAGCATATTGGCATGTTCACTTGAAAGTGTAAGTTTTCAGCGCTGTGTTTTTACTAAAATCCCCAGTTTTTAATCAAGCCAGTGTAGCGTGGAACCCGTTGGTGTCGCTTTTTGGCCGGTTTGTAGCACGTGGTTGCAGAAAACGTGGTAACAGACAGACAGACACACCGACCAAGTACTGCAACCCTCGTTGCACATGCGCGCCGAAGGTTAATAACGGGAGGGGCTGCTAACTGAAACTCTAGCACTTCCACAGGTTTTTTCGTAAAATGTCCAATGGGAAGCCGAGCGGCACCAGCCAGAATAGACACTTTACGGCGGGTTGGCAGCATCCTCTCCCTTTCATGAAAAGTATATTTATAGCATACTAGCCACGCACTCTGGGAGCTGACACCGATCCGCAGATCAGTTGGTTCCAGACCAAGGGCCTGATTGAACTGGCCACCTTGCTACCGCGTGTTCATGGCCTACTGTTTCGAGAAATCGCCATCCTCGGGCACTGAACCAAGTGATCTGCGGATCGGTGTCAGCTGCTCCCAGAGCACATGAAAGGGAGAGAATGCTGCCAACCAACCATAAAGTGCCTATTCTGGTGTCGCCCGGCTTCCCATTGGACATTATACGAAAATTAGACTACGGTAACACGCAATTGACCAATCAGATTCCGAGTTTAGAGGTAACCATTTTTGTTTTGTTAGTTACCTCTTCCGCGGTAACTATTTCGCGACCCTGCGGCACTTTTCTTACGTGTATTGCCTTCAATTCGAGAGACGCCGTGCGAGCGGATGGCAAACGGAGCTTCTGGAGAGGTTCTTTCTCACAACAACCCAGGTACTCGGTCTTCTAATAGGAAGCGGTGCATGACTACAGGGCCCTAGCTACAGCTCGAGCCAGACGCGCACGCTAGCGGTGCGAGAAGCGCCCAGCGGCCCCGCCTACTTTCGAGCCGCGCCGCAAGAACAAGCACTCTCTACTGCCTTGCTGGTATAGTCGTTGTTGTACGCCTGCTCGAACTGGCTGCTGACAGCTGCAAATAGCCTATCTACTTCCAGTTCGACCTCAGCAAAAAGCTCCGACCCCAGTAAGCCGTACATCCTCAATGCAGCTGTATTGTTGGCGGCGTGGCTAGCGCTGTAGTCTAAGATGTTTAGATGCGTGGGGTCGCGGTCACTTGTGCGGCGCCCGGAAGTCGTGTGTGCGCAGGTCCGTTTGGTTCTCTACGGGAGGCGCCGTTTGTTCATTCTCCAAATATGCATATTATAATGGTTATATGTCCACTATATATAAATTTGCTGCAATATTGTACCACACTCATTTTATATGGACAAAACCTAGATTTTTATACAAGTAAATTAAAAGAGGCATATAGGGTTCGTATAAAAAGAAAGGGAGACAACATAGGGATGGGATACATGAAGCATGGTTAATGAACAGATTTGAGCATGCTGACACCCCCGATCCTATCACACAATCCCTATATTGTTGCCTAGGTGAAGTATTAAACATTCAACATTACAATTGCCAGGACTTACAGCTTGAAAATACAAAAAAAAGTCATGCTACTGAGTAACCAACACCGTTACCATTACAATGTGAAGTCATGCTACTGAGTAACCAAGGGTCCAAATGGAGTTTACGAGTGGCACACCAGGCAACAATATAGGGATTGTGTGATGGGATCGGGGGTTTCACCGTGCTCAAATCTGTTCATTAACCATGCTTCATGTATCCCATCCCTATGTTGTCTCCCTTTCTTTTTTATACTTCCTCTTTTTTAAATTCGCAGGGTTTTAATTTACTTGTCTCCACTCATTTTTATATACTACACGTATATATCTGTGAAAGGGGGCGAGCCCCCTATAAAAAAATTAATAATAGAGAAAAATGCCTGTTGTCGTCTTGGAAATGATGTAATGCGCATGAGTACCAAGTTTCATCTCCATGTGTGCTGCCGTTAGGAAGTTTGAATAGTGAAGAAGTAAATGCTTGAGGCCATTTGTTGTTGTTCAAATATGTGGTTGTCATGGAAACGATGTCATATGCATTCGTACCAAGTTTAATTTCATCTCCATGAGTGCTACATTTAGCAAGTTTGAGGAGTGAAGAGTGCCTTAAGCTATTTGATGTTGTTCAAACAATATGTGGTCGTCATGGAAACATGACGTTGTCATGGAAATGATGTAACATGCATGCATACCAAGTTTCATCTCCATGCGTGCTACCGTTAGCAACTTTGAGGAGAAGTGCCTGAGGCTATTTGAACAATATGTAGTCGTATTAGAAACATGTATGTAGTACGCATGCGTACCAAGTTTCATCTCTATGCGCGCTGCGTTCTGAGAAGTGAAGAAGTAATTTTTAAGAAAATTCTCTGAGGCTATTTATTGTTGTTCAAACAAAGTGCTTGTCATGGAAATGATATTACACGCGAATTTCGTCTCCATTTGTGAGTTATGTGATCCCATTATAATGTACTGCCTGGGGCTATTTGTTGTTGTTTATAGTAAACAATGTTGTTTACAAGTATGACCAGTCTCTTCGGGAGATGGATATTTACATTCTTACAAAATTTCATAACTGTGTGTTGTTTTGTTGTTGTGTTATGGGTGTTGAATCTGAAGAAGAAGAACAAAACTTCCTACAAGTAAATAAAAAACCTGTGAATTTTTAAAAAGAAGGAATATAGGGATGGTATAAAAAGAAAAGGAGACAAGATAAAGGGATGGCATATGAGGAATGACTTCCATACATGTACATTGTGGGGTATAGGAACACTCCCCGAGCCCACAACACAATCCCTATACTGTTGCCTGGTGTATACATCTGTAAAAGTTAAGATGAAACATGGTATGCATATCATTTCCATGACGACAACAGGCATTTTTTTCTCTATTAGTAATTTTTATAGGGGCTTGCCCCCTTCCACAGCGATAATACGTAGTAGTATATAAAAATGAGTGGAGACAAGTAAATTAAAAATCCTGCGAATTTAAAAAAAGAGGCATATATAGGGATAGAAAGGGAGACAAAATAGGGATGGGATACATGACGCATTTTTAATGAACAGATTTTTGCATTTGGCCAATAATAAGTTTGCATGGTTTCTCATACATGTCACATGAGCAAGAAAGTGCACAAAAAGATTGGTGAACAAACCTTCAATTTTGCACCCTCTCTCCCTTTCCCTCCCCAGTCTATAGCTACACATGACACCTTGATGAGTTGTTGTGTGTGTGTGTACGTTCTTAGCAATACAGCCTGAGCTTGCTGACACTGAGTATGTAATAACTGTGCTTCGCACTTCCGTGTCTAATCCACAGAGTTTGGTGTGAAAATCGGGATCGGATGGTAGGGTTTCTTGGTCGCAATCACATATATAATTTTAAGGACAAGAAGTGGATCTACAGCTATGGAACTGGTGAATGCAAGGTGTCCTTGGCACTTACTGGCTGTAGCTTCTTTCACAAGGTATATTATTATGAGCTGTTTACTTCCCTCCCTTGGGACGTCCACAACCACATATTAGTAGGCCTTTGCAGATTATGTTCATCACAAATTACCTATATACAGTGGTATTAAATACCACCCATGCCATGACTCTACAACTAACACAGAGTCACTAAGAAACTACCAGAATAAATGCCCGGGCGTTTCATTCTTAACTAGGTTTCACACGGGGAGTCTCCCATGTAGCTTTGCCAGGTACACGCCTTCTGGGTTGCGCCTCACAATATGTAGTCAGGAGTATATACATGCCTGGGCAAGTATATTTTTATGCGCATGTGCGCCTACAAAAGATGCCGGGCCTCCTCGTCGCGCCATAGGCCACCCCTCAGGACTAGGCTGCCGACTGTTATTTGTACCCTATTCTGCTTGGAGGTCCGTAAATTTGTGGTCTTTGCCATAAAATGCTCCTAAGGGTGACGCGAAGCGGCACTCCTCCAAGCGCTGAGTAGACATAACTGCTTTAGCTATAATTATACAGTACAGACCCTTCAATACTATAATTATATTTTACCACATGACAAATAGCGTACATACAAGACAAATAATTTTACGTAAGGACGATAAGTCAGCCACTCAGCCCTCAAGCCTCAGCCAAATGCGCACGTACGCCAGGTGCGCAGAGCTTGACCACCTGCCGAGGATCTTGATGACTGCGTCCTCTACTCCAACTGCCGCCGCTGACATCGCTGCCCCTATGCGAAAACTGTGCCCCGAATACGGCACGGGGTCAACCCAAACCGACGACAACGCCTCTCTAATGTGGTTGACGAGTACTTGATGAGTCAGCAGCTGGCCGTTTTGCCAGACAAACAAAGGTTGTAGTCCCCGTACTTCGATGTAGCTGAGGAGCGCTGCTACCGGGCACAGATCCCGATCCGTACGTCCCAGGTGAATGCTGACTCCTGTGCGGAACGGATCCGTCTTATATGCTTTGATCCGCAGTTAAATCACTTTCGGAGCCTCCCGGGAATCGATGGCCACGTCAGCGTGACAGGTGCACCCTTGCATCGTAGCCCGATAACGTTGCCACTGTTGCTTCGCCCGATCTCAGAAATCCGAAGAAGCATGTGCACGCGACGGCCCAGATGTCGTAAGTGGCCGCCCTGGCCGACCGTTCCCAGGCTAGCTTCAGCAACCTCAACAAGGAGCTTGTGATTGGCAGGCGCGGGCGGCGGGCGGGCATCGCCTGGAGTATCTTCACCCCTTGAAGAGCCGCATGGAGGAGTGGCATGCTCCCAATGCCAGGCTCGACACCATACTGCAGCAAATGCTGCTGCCATATGCCCGATAAATACCCCTTCATTGAGGAGTTTGTGAGACCCTGGGCCGCTAGCCACGCAACAAACTTCATTAGAGTACCTTGGCACAGAGGTAACGGATTAATACCAAACAGTGCACAAAAGGACAGATAACGAGACTGTGACTGGTAAGTCCAGCGAGTCGACGGCGCTAAAGCATTCTGCAATAAGTATCGAACCAGGTCATCAAGTCTTGCGAGGTCCAAGCGGGACGACTGTGGGGTGTGAGGAGGCGTGCAGCACCTGCTTGAAGAATATAGGTGGAGGTTATTCCGAGACAATGCATCTGCTGCAACGTTGGTAGCCCAAAGGGTATGCTGAGCCATGACTCTGAAGTCGAACCGACTCTTTCAGCTCATCAGTCGTGGTCCACCAGGCAGCTGGCATGCAGCAGTATCTACACGAGCAATCCTAGCTTATTTCCAAGTTGCACCTTCGAACCATGAATATTGGGAAACGGTACAGCCTCAGTCAGTACCGAAGATTGCAGCGAATGCCGTCGAATGGAAGAGAGGAAATGATTTTGTCGGATAAAAAGAAGCGCGTAACGAAGCCGCGCATGCGCACTTACACGACGTACAAACGGACAATATATAAACCGAAAAATCCGCACAAACGAACGACTAGGTTCGCTTGCTCCCGCTCGCCAATAAATAATAAATATATAGAAAAATCGCGCCATTTGGACCACTAGGTTAGCTCGCTTCCGCTCGCCAATAATATAACCAGAAACAGCAGTACTTGAGGCGGATTTCTGAAATAGGGGACATCGGTAAAGATAATCCGTCTATACAAGTGAGGGGAAAGAGGGAAACATGAATCGACGTGGTGGCACAGAGTCACACTTTCTTTGATGAGGAGCAGGATCGGGCTGGGTGGTCACCCCCACATTCCCCACACGTATGACGGTATTTGCATCTTTCGCCAAAAGTACAGGTGCCTCTAGCATTAAATTGAGAGCACGTATCAGCAGGCCACGGGCGTCTTTTGGCTGGAGGAGCTTCCCCATAACTGGAGGCCTTGCGGGATCCTCTTGATGGGCCGGGTCGATGTAGGCAATCCGAGTCCCCGTGGGCCGAGCTGTCGCAATACGAGCACAATGCGACCGGATTCTCCCTTCCCGTGAAGAAAGGGGTGTACAAGTCAGTGTCCAGATTCGACCATGATCGATTTCCCGAAGCTGCCACGTTTATGCAGTAGTGGGTGTCGTAGGCCCGCCAGTGAAGGCCATCAAAATGCTGGCTGGCCAGGATGACCGTCAAGGCGTAAGCCAGCATTTCCAACGCCATTGAGGGGTCGGCAGACACCACTGCAGCCGCGTACACGATGAAGGCCTGCATCCATTCCGAGATTGTAGAAATGTTGTGCCTGCGACGGCGCACCACCTCGTACCCCGGTAGCAACGAGAAGCGGAGAGCTGACGACTGATCAGCTGGGTTGACTGCTGGCAGGAGGTCCGCAAAGTCGACATACTCCCCACGTCTAATACGTAGCAGCAGATTCTTAGGGATGGTAGGGATGCCGTTGGCCACAAGGACGTGCTGAGTTACCACCGCTGATGCTGACCAAGGTGCGCCCAGTAGTGCTTGGAGCAGAAGGGGTGCCAGTCCACTGTCGGTAGACGAGGACGCCACCTCAAAAGGATTCTCCCCGAGGCCGTCTGCCGCTAGAAGGTGACACTGTGATGTTGAAGCAGGTGTCGCTGAGGCAGGGAGGGGTGGCCCAGAGAGGGAGACAGCACCCCCATCAGCTACTGTTGCCACCGGTAGGGCCGGAATAACACATGGCAGGACGCCCAGTGACGACCGCGGTGTCGAGGCTACCAGTGAAAATTAGAGCACACAAGCTAAGGCTGAGCACCCCGATATGCACACCAGCGCTAGCCGCGAAAGCTATAGCAGCCAACGCTAGCGGAATGCACGGACAGTGACTATAGGCACAGAACAATAAATCCCTTTCGGTCACAATGTCTAGACACTTCTAGAAACGTCAATAAACTTTGACCCGGTAAGCGGGCGGCATGGTGGCATTATCTCATTAAAACACCCACACATTCTCAGAAGTGGTCAGTCGGCACTTGGATGTGGCGGCCAGAGCTTTGATGTTGCCTTTCTACCCTTTCAGTACAGTAAAAAAAAGCAAAAAGGTCCGGATTGAGTGAGACATGTCATATAATGTCTGAGCAGGCTGAAAGGCAGGCACAGAGGCTGTGCGTAGGTCTGTAAAACGGAAGGCAAACGGAGCTTCTGGAGAGATTCTTTCTCACGAAAAACCAGGTACTCGGTCTTCTAGTAGGATGCGGTGCATGACTACAGGGCCCTAGCTACAGCTTGAGCCAGACACACACGCTAGCAGTGGGAGAAAAGCGCCCAGCGGCCCCGCCTACTTTTGCGTTAATGAGCCTCGCCGCCTAGAACAAACACTCTCTACTGCTGCTATAGCCTTGCTGGTATAGTCGTTGTTGTACGCCTGCTCGAACTGGCTGCTGTCTGCTGCAAATAGCCTGTCTACTACCAGTTTGTCCTCAGCAAAAAGCTCCATAATCTGTGACCCCCAGTAAGCCGTCCATCCTCAATGCAGCGTGCATTGTTACGCATTGCTAGCGCCTACGCTGTAGTCTAAAGATGGTTAGATGCGTTGCCTTGGGAACTACGCGATAGTGAGACTCAGGGCCCTGGTAGAAGCGCCCTTGCTGCGCTCGGGACACCAACAGCCCAGGGCCTCGGCTCACTAAATCGCGTAGTCCCAGCATCTATTAATAAAGCCTCATGCCCCGGGGGGTAGCGACCTCGCTGCGCTCGACACGCCACAATGCCGGGGCTGTCGGCTTTCTTCTGCACCGTCTAACTATTATATGTACGGTACATTTGTTTGCCTCCTAGACCTATATGTACCTGTACTCCTACTTGATGCCGAAAGAAGTGAGGGAGATGGTCGACCGCATCAAGGACTGTGAAGACATTGCCATGAACTTCCTTGCTGCACATCTCTCCAGAAAACCACCCATGATCGTCAGTGCAAATTATATACTTTATATTTTGTAAACATTCTTACGGCACCTAGCTACCAACTGATGTTTTTGGTACTACACTACCACACGTACAAAGTATCTCATTGTGGAAGCCACTGATAATCATTATCTGATGCGCTTTCACGGAGACTGAGGGAAAACCTGTGGGTCTCATGCTTAGGAAATGAAAAATGAATCATAGCTGCAAATATTGAGTCAGTTTGAATTATGCAGCAATCATTCGCTGTATGATGCACTACGTCATCCCTCGTCTTGTCTCCTTTCTATCCCAGTAATTATTTTGCATTGTTCAGACCTAAATAGATCATTGGCAAGCAGGAGCAAGCCAACCTATTCCATCACAACGGGCCGATTTTTTTCTTTCTCTCTCTCTTAATCTTTGCATTCAATTTGCAGGTTCCTACAAAATATTTTTTTGACTGTACTGGCCGATGCAAACACAATCTCTCCAAGAAAGGGGGGTGGATGAAGGAGCGCAGTTTCTGCATTGAGTTCTTAACTCGTATTTATGGTTACCTACCTCTTCTCTACACCACGTCTCGTGCTGATCCTGTTGCTGCTGAGATCCCCTTCAGTTAAGGAATATGGAAAATGTTTTAAGCCGACCTGACAGTGTTTAATAGCTGGCCATCCCAGCACACTTGTGACTATGTCTAGATACAATAGTTAAACTCCCAGGATGCTTATTGTCCTTTGGCCCTTATTCATTATGTTTCATAAAAACTCATGGTTTGCAAAAGAAAAGAAGTTGCAACCCGGGGCGTGCATCGACTCCCGTAGCTATATAGTATGACAGCACAAACAAAATCTATCGATTAGCAGCTTGCACTGGTTCCTTACGACACAAATCCTCTAACTTGCTAAATAGCTCCATTCTGTAAGTGGCCCAATCTGTAAAGCCTCTCCTTTCAAACCCACAAGACTTTCAGAGTTATGAGATCTTGATCTTGTTAAGTGCCACCTAACAACTGCGGCAGAACACCTAACATGATGGAAACACCTTTACCCGGGGCTTTCGTGAGGGAGACACTGTCTGGTTGTCTCGACCAACAGCCAGGAAGCTAGACCCACCGCTAACAAACTCCTTCCCGTTTCTTTACTCAGACTAGCTAGCTATAGAAAGGTCATTGTGTTCCACTGGATGACACTCATAATTTAAAAAAAAGGCAAGATTTGCTCCACCAGAAAGGCTGTGGTAGCTATATATTATAGCTACTAGCCTAATCAACTTATTCATAGCTCCTTAGCTGGTTACTGGTTGCCAGAAGGGCATAATTCCGTTAAGTTCTCTCAACAAATAAACCAGCTTGACGCGTTATATTTAACCCTCGGCACTCATGCACAGCGAGGGTTACAGTACTTTGTCTGTCTGTCCGTTTGTACAGTACATTAGCGTGCCAGAACAGGGCTATATAGTGTGGAGTAAAATTTACAACACGAGCAATAAATGTCAGTTTGAAGATGAACCATCATCCATTGCATCACAATCGTGCACTAGGTCATCCCTGTCTTGTCTCCTTGCTTTTTATGGCATGCCTATATTCCACACTTTTTTAATTTGAAGAATTTTTTATTTACTTGTATACTTGCAAGAGAGCCACTGAAGGTGTGTGACTTAGTATATGTTATTACACCTTTTGGAGTGGTGTTGCTGGTTTATCCGCCCGACTCCCCGAGGGCGCGTAGTGCCCGAGGGGGGAGGGCGGATAAGCCGCAACACCACGACAAAAGGTGTAATTGGCGAGCGGGAGCGAGCCAACCTAGTCGGTCGTTCGTTCGAGCGGAGTTTCTACGACCGTCGACCGTGTAAGTGCGCATGCGCGTCTTTCTACGCGCTTCTTTTTATCCGAAACTATTTCCAAATTTTTACACATTTTCACGACACGGTGCCTCGCCGGTCGATCTATAGCCAGCTAGAGAACTCTCCTCCATTTGACGGCGTGCGCTGCATGCAACCTTCGGTGACTGACCGAGGCTGTACCTCTTCCCAATCTTCATGGTTCAACTTGCAAATACGCTAGGATTGCTCGTGCACATACTGCTCCATGCCGACTGCGTAAGGTAAGTACCGTCTGCTCACCTGCTCACCGTTCTGCCAATGTACAATACGTTATGTAACGGCGACAGGCTTCACGAAAGGAAATCTGTGTGCTGACGGCACGTTATGCAGCCCGAACATCACGGGAAAATCCCAAGTTGGGTCGCTCCCGCTCGCCAACAATGTTCAACATTTCCACTAGTAAAAATAATGTTTATTACCGCTGATTGGTCGTTGCTGGTGAAACCGCGCGCGAAAATGGCGCATCCACCCAAATAAGGCGATGCACGTGAACCTGCGCATGCATAACGCGCCGTTCTATCGTACGCCGCTCATCAAACACGAACGACGCTGACAGACCGAGGGAGCGATTGAGGGAGCGAATGGCAGAGGCTTTCCGTTTGGAAGTCGAGGGTTGGGATTCTGAGACGTCGCTGCAAGACTCCGCGTCCGAGAGTAGCGCTCCTGGGGACGGGCCGTCGCCATCTAAAAGGCGTAGGCTCTCGCTGACAAGGAAGAGGGCTACGTGCACTACTTCCGCAGCTACAGAGAGGTTTGAATTTTTAGATGATGCAAAGAGCGAGGCTCTCAGCAAGAAGTTTGTGCCTACGCCTTTTCGATGCCAACGGCCCGTCCCCAGGAGCGCTACTCTCGGACGCGGAGCCTTGCAGCGACGTCTCAGAATCCCAACCCTCGACTTCCAAACGGAAAGCCTCTGCCATTCGCTCCCTCAATCCTCCCTCGATCTGTCAGCGTTGACATAAGAACATTGATACCCAACCCTCACCACAGTGGATATTCTCACCTTCTCACCCTCTTGGGTGGGTAGCTGATTTATTGTGCTAAAATAAACATAGCAACGACCTAGCAACGGGTAATAATTGTTTATTTCCACTATTCAAAGATGCCTATATTTGGTTACTGTTTCTTGATGATCCCACCGAAGCCCACATTGCATTTATAGTGGAAGTGAAGCCGAATTACCTTTTGTAGATATGACTAAGCATAATGATGGAGTACATCCAGCAGGTCCATAGTTAGATCTGACACTAACAGTATATTATACACATTTGCCCTCGGCCTAATTCAAAACTTGCTGGTAGATCTCATGACTCTCAACAGGGTGATCACAGGGAGCCTACTAAATTTAAGCCGTCTGTACCTGGAACTTAATCCTCCTACAAGTATAGCTACGTATAGTCAGTAATCTCTTGGGTGTGACATTAATATAATACTTTTTACCAAAAATAGAGACATACATCTTGAAAGTGAAGAATGGAAGAACAGTCAACACTTTGTGGAGTCATCTATGTTAGTAACGTGTATATAATTATACTATATACTATTGGGGCATTTTGGTGAGCAGAAGCAAGCACCATATATACACAGCACCCAGCCTGTAACCTTTTGTCTTCACTGCACTATATACAGTATCGATTGACAAATGCAGTTTCTGGAAATCACCACGTTAATTAATATTCATCTTTTCGTTGTTCACAACCCGCTGGTGCCACTCATTGGCCGCCTCGTATGGGGCGGTATTCGTGTCAGTATTCAAACGTCGATTTTGCCGAGGCATTTCCGTTTTGCCGCGGCAATTGCCCCGGCAAAACCTGGGCCGAAAATCCGGGACATTTGCCGCGGCAGAAAACTAGCTGGGCCATGTTCAATCGTGTCAGTATTCTTGTCGTGCCGGCTTTTGCCGCGGCAAAAGTGCTCTTTGCCTGGGCAATTGCCGCGCAAATGGAATTGCCGAGGCAAGAGCACTTTTTGCGCGGCAAAAGTGCTCTTGTCGTTGCCGGGCTTTTGCCGCGGCAAATGTGCTCTTGCCTGGGCAATTGCCGAGGCAAGAGCACTTTTGCCGCGGCAAAAGGCCGGCAACGACAAGAAGTACTGACACGATTGGACCATGGCCCAGCTAGTTATTCTTGCCGCGGCAAATGTCCCGGATTTTTCAGCCCAGGTTTTGCCGGGGCAATTGCCGCGGCATTTTGCCACGGCAAAACGGAAATGCCTCGGCAAAATCGACGTTTGAATACTGACACGAATACCGCCCCATAGCCTCGTAGCCTGTAGTGCGAGAACTCGCGCTGACAGACAGACAGACAGACAGACCGACAGACCAAGTACCGTAACCCTCGCTGCGCATGCGCGGCGAGGATTAATTAATATTATCGTAACCATTGATTAGCCATTGTTAGTCCGTTTATATTCCAGCTACATATTCTTACGCAATGGTGGTCACCCTGGCCTATGTCCTAGTCATGAAGCAAGCAACTTGAAGTGACTGAGGACATGCGGACCTTGGCTAGCACTACGTATATTTCGCCTTTCATTTTACTAAAAAGCACCGAAGTGCAAGCCCTCGGCGCTAAACGCGCGGGTTTTAGCATCGCTGTATGCTGGGCCCTGCGTCATCGACTGAGCCAGTAACACGAGTCTCGCAGTAACACAGGGTAGCTAGTTGCATCAGGTGTTTCAGAGGCTCTCATATTTGCTTTATTCGCTCTTCTGTGTTTCAATGCTCTCGCCAGACGTGAAGAAAGACAGATGTACAAGAGTGTAAGAAGTATTGTTAAAAATAATGCTGATGGTATCCACTATTAATTATGACAAGAACACGTAGCAGCAAAGATCGCACAAATTCACGTAGAACTATAAAATAATAATATCATTGACAGAAAAAGAGAAAACTATTATAAAGGCATCAGCAGTCCCTCCTGTTAGCATCAACACTAACTGTACTGAAGGTCCCAGACCACACCATGAGGAGGTCGGAGGGGCAGTGGTCCGCGTGAATGTGTATCTGGTAATAGTGTTTTTCTTTGCTATAGGTGTGACAATCATTACAATAGGTGTGGCAATCATAACACTATTCCCATCCCATAACTGTGACTTACAGATAATTCATGTGGCAGAGGACCAGGTTGTTCAGTGATGAGTAAGCTTTAGGACTACTGTGTTTCTCCCGAACACAACGCAAACACTCTGTACCAGATGGAGTCATGCGGACAGTCAAGGCAGGGAACCTCTCATGGCAGGTGATGCACAGTGTGTGAGCCTGGCCTGTTCCGTTTCCCCTGATTCTGAAGCGTGTCTTGCTCTATCTTGTACACGACGTCTCGCTAGTCGTGCTTCCCTTTCTTCCGCTGTTTTGGCGGTGAGTCGTTCCCTTGCCCGTTCCCTATCATGCAGTCGGCGTTGAGAAAGCCGAGCGTCTCTCTGCTCAGGAGTGTCACGGGCACGACGTTCTCTTCGTGAGAAAGCCGAGCCTCTCTCTGCTCAGGAATCTGGAGGTGTGCGAGACTGGCCTGTTCCGTTTCCCCCGATTCTTCAGCGCGTCTTGCTATATCTTGTACACGACGTCTCGCTAGTCGTGCTTCCCTTTCTTCCGCTGTTTCGGAGGCGAGGCGTTCCCTTGCCCGTTCCTATCACGACGTCTCGATAGTCGTGCTTCCCTTTCTTCCGCTGTTTCGGCGGCGAGGCGTTCCCTTGCCCGTTCCCTATCACGCAGTCGGCGTTGAGAAAGCCGAGCCTCTCTCTACTCAGGAGTCTCACGGGCACGACGTTCTCTTTCCCTCCTCTTCGACGACGAAGGGCATCCTCTGTAGACTGATGATCCATGGTTGCCACAGCCGTATAGACTAATACACGTGCATAATGTGACGAGTCCGCGCATGCGCACTTACACGACGGACGGACCACGGACGTATAATTATTGGCGAGCGGGAGCGAGCCAACCTAGTGGTACGAACGGCGCGATTTTTCTATATATATATCTACGACCGTCGTCGTACGTCGTGTAAGTGCGCATGCGCGTCTTTGTACGCGCTTCTTTTTATCCGAAACTATTTCCAAATTTTTACACATTTTCACACACGGTGCCTGCCTCGCGATATGCGACGATCGATCTATATAGCCAGCTAGAGAACTCTCCTCCATTCGACGGCATGCGCTGCAACCTTCGATGAAGATTGGGAAGAGCTACAGCCTCGGTCAGTCACCGAAGATTGCAGCGCATGCCGTCGAATGGAGGAGAGTTCTCTCGCCGGCTAGATCGATAGGCAAAGGCA